AGATTGAGGCTCTCACCCCCACTGGTGGTGCATACATGAACGAGGCCGACTTCCAGCAGCCCAACTTCCAGACCGAGTTCTTCGGCAGCAACTACAAGTCCCTCTTGTGCCTGAAGCAAAAGTGGGATCCTGAAGGATTCTTCTACGTTCGCAACGCCGTTGGCAGCGAGTCGTGGAGCGTTGCTGACAATGGAAGAATGTGCCGTGTTTGAGTCGTAGGAAATACCCCCATAGTAATTGAATAACACTTTCGTTTTTTGTCAATATCTTGCCTCAATCTCATCCGTGATCACATGCAATAATCGGCCAGACCTGACGTGAAGTCAACTGCACTCAGTGTGAGATAAGTCAAACCCCCCACTTCCTGGCACCCCCCTGTTTCTGGCACCCACAAAAACGATGGGATCACAACCCAACCTCCTCATTACTATTAACTATTGATCCTCAACCACACCCACTACAATACAACTGCCAGCCTCACTAGGGCATTCAGAGTCGCTGGATTCAGCCGTAATAACCTCCTTTTCACCCGCTTCGATTTGAGCCCGATGGATATCCCTGATGTTCGCAAACTTCGTGTTGGGATCGATCTGAACAGTCTTCCTCTTCCTAACTGCAGCGTTGGTAACTTGGCCCTCAGGTGAGCCAGCTGCTGCTGGGCAACTGCCAGTTGCCAGGCCTGCTCTGTGAAGCCTTTTTTCACCTTCCTGAACAGCAGCCGTTGAGTGCTGGTATCATTGTCGAGTTGGGTGTATAAGTGCAGTTGACCGCTGAGCTCTGCCAGCTTCCTGGGTGTCGACCAGACCACTGCAGAGGAAGCAGAATCCCATGGCTCAACAGGGGTAGTTTGTTGACCATTATGGCATCGCTTTTGCCCCGACTGGTTGGTTTGGGTGTGGTGGGCTGCAGAAGGCTCAGGTAATACCATAGGGTTCATCAGGGGCTTAACCATCGCTACAGGGTGTAGACCAGTCCACTTCCAACCACTTCTGATGTTCGAGACTGATAGACCAGCAAGTCGAGCCTTCTGGTAACAGTCCAGGAAGTTCCTTTTACCTATAATGGTAGAGTCGTTCCATTGAGACAAGTAACCGAGCTCCTTCCGATAGGCTGACTTAACAGGGCTGAAGACAGACTGGTCAAGTGGCTGGAGGACATGAGAGGAGTGTGGTGGTAAGAACAGTAAATGGATATTGTTAATATAGCAATTCCACATGAAGTCTGTCGTCGTATGACTCCCATGCCCATCCACAATCAACAGTCGAGCCTCGCCCTCAGCCTCGGGCATAGTCTGTGGGATAAACACCTTCTCTAACCATTCAATGGCAGTTAAGTCTGTAGTCCAGCCATTATCTGTTGCTGTAAACTCCCACCCATCGTATGGAACCAGATGTAATGGAAACCACTGTTGTTGGACCGTCTTCCCTTGAAAATGATAAGAGGACGAAGTGCCCTACCCAAGGCTGAGATACACTCAATGATAGAGACCCATGCCCTCGACCCAGGTTGTTTCTTGCGAACAGACGTCGTCTCAGCCATGCCCAGCACTAACCCATTAGCTCCCTGACCCTCGAGGATGCCAGTCTCATCCATATTATATCTGTTGGCTGGTTTGATGTCCTTGATCTCAGGGATAGCAAGGAACTTAAACCAGTTCCTAATGACCTCAGTAGATGCCCCATTAACGCGTCTAGAATCGATGGAACGACTTCTCTGAACCTTAATGATAGGGTTCCTTCTCACGAAGGCATAGATCCAGCCTTTTCCTAATGGTTTGGTATCCCCAGCAGCAGCCAGAACTCGCTCTGCGAATTCCTTCACCTGTTGGTGCGTTGGTGCGAGGCCCAGCGAAGCCTGAATGCGAACCCATTGTGCCAGCTTACTCTCCTGGTCAGGAGACAGCCTCTGCCAGTCAGCAAAAGCCACTTTCCTAGTCTGACCACCTTGGAGACGTAGTTGGAGGGTTGATCGTGGTATCCCATACTCCAATGAGGCTCTCTTTTGACTCTTGCCGTTTGAGATGTCCTCGAGAGCCTGACGAAGCTGATCTTCGGTATATTGAGGCATTAGATATAGAAGAAGGTATGTGCAAAAAATGAGCCCATTTGGACTCGAATTGAAAATGTTGTGATAAAAGGAGGTTGGGGGTGGGCATTGCGTTGTGGTGGATTTTCGCGTTTTTGTGGGTGCCAGAAACAGGGGGGTGCCGGGAAGTGGGGGGTTTGACTTACCAGGCTTGAAGTTGGTCGCGCTTAGGTAGCCAAAATACTATCGCTTGACCATGGATACACTGAACTTGCAGTGTTTGACATGAGTGAGTCTAATGCCATGAAATCTCGGAACGCCTAATTTCTGTAGGGTAGGTGGAAAGCTTTTGGTTATATACTATCACGATAAGGTCGATCTATCTACAGAGAAGGGTACATATGTTCGGGTCTGGCCTTTCGTTGCCTTGAGGACCTTCAGCGGACCGGATTCATTTACGGAGTAGGCTGGTAAGAGCCTCTATCAAGCTTAGAAGAGCTCAAAAGCGAATGCGGTGGAATTGGTAGGTGGCTCGACCAGGATAGTAAGCTGTAGGACCAAACATTAGCATTGCTATCACGCAGGAAGGTTGTCAATGTGGGACAAGGATAACTTACGCTGTCAGAAGCGGACGAAATGCTGGTTACACCCAAGTCAACCGGTCCTCCAACCTCAGCCTTGGTGCCAGCCCAGTCGAAACGCAGAGTGCGGACTTGGACGGAACCATCGCTGGGAAGACCGAGCTTGCTGAGTCCGGACACCTTGATTTCGTAGTTCTTCTGAACGGTCCTGGTTCCAGCGAGGATCTTGACGCTGTTGTTCTCAACAGTCGCAAAGACATCAAAAGTCCGGTCAGCCGACGCGGTGGTGGCGACACGCTCGCCGGTCATCTGGGCGTAGTACTTGTACACCTGCCACTCTCCGTTGGGTTTGTACGCTCCGCTGGCATCCTTGAAGAGCAGATCGGCCATCCAGTTGTGCAGGTCGGAACCGCCGCCCCAGTTGGCGCGGAGGCCGCGAAGGTTGTGGCGCTCAAGTTGGGCGAGGTAGAAGACACCGTTGGCGGGATTCTGCTCGGATGGCCAGGCGTACTCGTTCAAGTCGATTGGGCGGTCCGGAAGGTTGTAGGTGCTCTGGAGGGTCTTAAAATCGGGAACGACTCTGTCGGGCTCACGCTGCCATTCACCAATTTGATGCCAGGAGTAGATGTCAGGGATGGCGTCGTTAGCTGCTACCTTGGACATCCAAGCCTTCCAGTTTTCCAAATCAACGGCTGGGGCGTTGGCGGCTGATGGTCCGCTGATCAAAGTGCCCGGAAGCTCGGCCCTAAAGTTGTGTTAGTTGAGATCGGAATGATTGATATCGGGAGACTATCTAACCTGATGATCTTGTGAGCCCGCACATAGTACTCCAGATACTGATCCCACGACCGAGCCCAGAAGATGTCAAGATCAGGCTCATTCCAGATATCAAACACAAGCCCGTCGAGCATGTTATTAGACTTGATGTCATCGACAAGACGGTGAAGGAAAAGCTCAGTCTCCGTCCAGTTGCCATTGTCACCGGGGAAGATTGAGCCTCCTGCCTGGCCGCCGTCGGCACCCCAGAGGTCGTGGGGCAATAGGATGAAGTCAGCTCCGTACTTGCGCGTGGTCCGGTAGTTGGAGAGTGCGGAGTCGAAGCGCTGCTGGTATCCGTCGAGTCCGCCGATCCAACCGGGAGCTAGGATCTGGGCACCCCCGGCACGGCTGGCGTGGAACTTGATGTCGGTGACGAAGTTGTCGGGAATAGAGGTGTCAATCTCTGTTCCGTTATCGGGGAATCCGTAGATGAAGCCGGAGCCAAGGAATTTGGCTGGGCCACTGGGATTCGCGATATCGACAGTTGCTGTGCCAGCTGGAGATTGTCTTACAGCCAGACCTGTGACATGGCCAGCTGTAAGAGCTGCAATAGCTGAGAAAGCCTTGAGAAAAGACATGTCAATGATGGAAGAGTAGAATGGTGCCGGTGCCGTGTCAAGGTGAGTTAGCTGTTGACTGCATCCATTCAATCACCTTTCCATCTACGAAACTTCCTACTATTATACTCACATCGCGATGCCTCGTCGCGATGAGAAGCCATTGCGAGTATGAGCCACCCCACCGGAGTAAACATCTCGATAGATGTTTGCGCTCGGCAGATCGGCGCATGCTGAGCGACGTTTAACGCTATCCTCCAATTCCCCGCATGCCAAGGTGATGCAGCAAGAGCTCGTTCACAATTCGTGGGGAAGAGGCTAAGAGCGGGTGAGAACATCCACTATCAGCACGACGTTGATCCTCCTCCACCGGGCATTGCGACACTTCTGCGGGGTTCACAATAGTATCACAGACGGAGAAAAAAGCCTAGCCCGGAAGACGCGTCGCGTCTGCGACCGAATCTTTACTTGCCGCCATCATGAATGCAGATCATCATTTACCGCAGCCATGCGGGATGATTACGGAGCTTCACATTTGGAACCCGATGCTCAGGTATTCAAGTTCATGATCTAAAGCATTAGATAGCGAGTTGCATCTAGAGCCCCAATCTAGCTCATGGGTCAACTTACATCACTGGTACCAAGTAAGGTACCTTAGATAGCTTGAGTACTTGTTGTACGAAGGAAAGGAATTGAAGTGATAACACGATATGGCGACCGTGCTGAACCCTAGAAACAAGAAGGAGGGAACTCAAGCTCTTGATAATAACTAAGTAATCAAGGCATGACTTATTACTCGAGTGTTCTCATTATGATGTGGCAAAACATGTTGACTTTTAGCTGCATTACTAAGTAGTGATTGATTCAGTAGTTTATATAAGACGGTATTCTCAAGTAAAGTCGTGATAGTAACAACATCTATTTATTAGGTCCGACTGCGAAAGCAAAGATTCTTAACGAAGGTATGACTCCAACTGTCCTACTCTAAAAGGGCGAAACTACTGGTGTGGACGAGAACTCAGCCTTCTTTAGCCAGGACTTCGTCGCCACTGGCATAAGCATCGACCCTGTAAGATGCGAACTTGGATGCCTTGACGCGCCTTGCAAAGAGAATGTCCAATTCCTCAAAGGTCTTGTCCTTTGTCTCGGGGAGGCGGAAGAAAGTCCAAATGAAGAAGACAAAGGCGCAACCTCCCCAAAAGAATCCCGTCTTTCCTCTCCAGTCACCGGCCGTCGGGTTGAGCATGTAGGGATTGATGACATTGCAGACAATCTGAGCAATGTAGTAGGCAATGCGGCTGAGGCAAACACTCTTGTTGCGGAGACGAGTCGAGGAAACCTCGGAAATGATGGCGTAACAGATAGGTCCCACGGTGAGATAGTAGACACCGAGCCAAGCCAGCATCATGCCAGCCTGAGCGTAGTTTGCGCCGTCCGAGTTAGGGGCACCGGCGCTGATGGCACCGACGACGAGGAGGATCAAAGCCAACGCTCCGAGACCCCATAGATACAGCGTGCGACGACCGAAGCGACCAAGAAGCCCCCATGATACAATCGTGCCGACAGAGGCGATCCCGAGGCCACCGACTGACATGCGGAACGAGATCGATTCTGGCAAGCCGGCTTGGACGAAGAAGTAGGTGGGAGTACCACCCATAGCAGAGCCGCAGAAAGGCTGTGCAGCAAATGCCATGCAGGCGATCTCGGTTCTCCGGAGGTCAACGCCACGGAAGCAATCGAGATACGAGGTTCCTTCGTCCATCTGCTGCTCAATCTCGTTGGTATGAATCATCATGGCAACCTTCTGCTTCGAGTTGACGGCTTCGGACGCGGACCCAAGACGGAGGACGGACTTCTCAGCTTGCTCGTAATCGCCGAGGCGGACGAAATGCCATGGAGACTCGGGAGCGAACCACAAAACGGCGAAAAGCGGAAGCGGCCAGACCCATTGAATCGCAAACGGCACGCGGTAGGACCACTGGTTGCTACCATCGGAGAACCCTGCCTGAACACCGGCTGAGATCAGCTGACCGAGGGCCCAGCAGAGGTTGACGAAGACGGTGAGGTAGCCGCGCAGTGCCATCGGGCAGACTTCGGAGGCGTAGGCTGGAGCAGTTGTCGCGAAGACGCCCCAGGGAATACCGCAGAGGAACTGGCCGACGAGGAGGACGGGGAGGTTCGGCGAGAAGAAAGAGATGAAGATAAAGGCGACGATGCTAGCCAGGGACGCGAGAAGGACCTTTCGGTACCCGAAGCGATGGGTGAAGTAACCGTTCGCGAAAGCGCCGATGATTGTACCGACACTGACTGCATTGCTCAACCCGTTTTGCCAGGATGCTGTGATCTCGTACGTGCCCTTGCTAGGGAGGTATTCGCCGTAGTGTCGTTTGAAAGCGGGCTGAGCAAAGAAGGACGAGATGAGGACGATGTCGTAGCCTTCCATGATGATCGCGGCGGAGACGAGGACAGACCACATGGCGGCCTTGGGATAGCGGCGGATAGCCTCCATGAAGCCAAGCTTGTGCTCCTCGTCTGCGGCCTGCTTGGCCATGGCCAGGTCTTTGATAGCATAGTCCCCGGTGGGAGCATGCTCGAGCTGACCGATCTCGAGCGGCTCTTCTTTGGTGGTGCCCATTGTGGCGGCTGATGAATGACTTGATTCTGAAACCGAAGGTAAATGGCAGGCAACAAGAGTTGGTGATAGCTTCGAAACTCTAGCAACTTGTTACAGTGCAAGTATCAGCGTCGTCGTGAAGATGATCGACAAGCGAGGTCCGGAGATGGTGGAGAATCTAGACATGATATAGAGACGCATGTAACGCCAGCAGGATATTGTTTCCGGCGACTGTCAGCTTCGAAGGGACGGTATCCCACAGCGTGGAATACACGTTGTCCCCGCATGTTGTCAGTCGAAGATCCGGGGTAACATGCGGAGAAAGAGTTTGTGATCATTAGCCTTCCCGGCACAAAAAGGACGTCGTGCCATCTGATGGCTTATTTGGGTAATTGTCTTTGCCATTTGTGGCATGATGTCTCCACCCCCGCCGGAGTTTTCTAACTTCTCACTAGAATAACCACCCGATCCATGGCTATACCGGGCTGACAACTCCGGTGGAGAGCCCGTCGCCCGCTCCGAGAAAGGATAGCCTAGTCCGAGGTGGACTGAACGAGCGAGTCCAGGAGATCGGCGTATGTTCGTTCCACTCCCCAGACCGAGTATCGCCTGCCGTTCTCGCTCATACCTCCGCTCCCGACGCTACTTGCTGCGTCTCCGTTCTGCTCCGGTCTCCCCTTGAGCATCTGTATCCCTTCTTTGAGAATCTTCCGAGGGGCCCCATCGTTGCAGATATCACCCACCTTGGCCATGTGGCCCGCCATCTTATGGCCTAGCCTCACATAAGTCTGCACCATCTCGTCGTCACATGGCCGGTCGAGGTGGAGGAAGCTGGGCTCCGGGTCCTCTTCAACTTCTGCCACTGCCTCCATCGGGCTATCTTGCTGGCCAGGGCCGTCACTGGCCAAGTGAGAGCTCGGGTTCTGGTGACGCCTCATGAACAGCATCATTGTGCTGTACGCCCAAACCACCAATGTTGCAGCGAATATGCCAAAGGGTTCGAGAAAGTTGCCCACACTGTAACGACGGATGTGCCAAAGCATCGCCCCGGCATGGACGACCGATAGTCTGGCTTTGTACTGATCACGCAGAGCCCACTGGGCGACGAGAGATCTCGCCTTTTCGACTTTGGAGTTGTCGACGTTGCGGGAGGATGCTCGCGCCGAGGCGGCAGCAGCTAGTGTCTGTAAGTGGGTTATCGGAGCGAGAAGGACGAGGCGAGAGAGGTGGAGATGTAAGATGACGGGATGCTCCCATCCACCGGCTTTGGCGATGATGGCGTTAGCGTTCCAGTGAAGGAGGTCGAGAGAGTCGCAGGCGCTGTTCCGCCATCTTGATAGGATAGGCAGCGAAGGGGGCCAAGTCTCCTCGACAGTATCGCCAGGACCGCACTTCTGGACGTCGGCTGTCGGCGTCCATGAATTGAGCCTGATCTGGTTGTGGTAAATAGCTTCCTTGGTACGCCTGATGATAGCGTATGTGAGCACCATGGTGCTAAAGTCACCCAGGTTCGGTGGCAGCCTCTTCTCCATGTAAAGCATTTCCATGGCCTCAGGTATAGTCACTAGGGAGCCCTCAATGTGTGAGCCTAAACGGTGCCTTGATTGTTTTGGTGGGTAAAGTTACACACCTGGCTTAGATTGTTGCTGCCCTGGTTTCTTAGCAGTAGTTTGGTCCCAAAGAGAATCGAGACAAGGCATCTGGCCTTTTGCATCGCCTAGCTTGAGCAGTACGTCTTGACCTCTCTCTAGGAATACAATAACGTCGAGGATCTAGAGCACAGATGTCATGTCAGTTTATGGGCTCTTTGAAACGAAATTGGTGGCTTGCACGTACCCATATCATGAGACCCGTTCTCAGTCTGGACTCAGTGTCCAACCACCTTCTGTGGGCACTTGTGTCACCCGCGTGTTGCGCTACTTCTGGTAGGCCTTCTCGCATACCTAGTAGGTCCATCTTTCGACAGGCATTGATCAAGAAGTGCCGTACTAGGAATGCCAAATCGTAGCGATCGCCGCGGACACCGTTGTGCAGGTCGTGTATCAACCAGAGGATAGACGTTTGAGCAATGACTAGACCCATTGAATCTTCCCCAGGGCTTACCAGTGACACTTGAGAAGATCCTGCCACGTCATCCAGGGCACCCGTTGAGATGTAAAATCGTACAGCGCTTTCCAAAAGTTGAAGAAACAAGTCTCTGAAGCCGAGATTGGTCTCGCCTCGGGAGTAGACCGAGCCAATTGCACAGACGGCCAATAAAAGGGGCCAATTCGCTGGCTCGTGGTAGTAGTCGGCTGGTTTCTGCAGGAAGTTATAAGCGGGGTGGAAATGTTGAAAGTACAATCGGAAATAAACTCGAGCGTGAGCTATGGATGGAAGTGGCGTCGCGCTGCGGCCTTGAAGAAAAGGTTCGACGCTGATGTGTTGCAGAAGGTTATCGTAGGCCTGTACAGATAGATCAAGCCCTGTCCCTTCATCACCTTCTTTGGAGGTGCCTGGAGCCGCTGTGCTGGGAGTCGGAGTGTCATCATCGGGTCTCGCCGCGTTATCTAAGACGAGACTTCTTTGCGACGGGCGACCCTTAAAGGGTGCCCTGGATGGAGCACCATCGACATAGTAAGTCGCCGTGGTAGAAGATGATTCAACGGATCCAGTCGTGCTTCCGTTCGGTCTACTCCTGGGCGTTGTTCCTGGTGGATTGAGCTGAAGCGCTGATGCTGGTGGAACTGCGGCATTCGAAGTCTGGACTGGCTGACTGTTGAGGAGGTTCAGCCAAGGCCCTTGTCTTACGGCCTCATAGGCATTCATGACGGTTTGTACGCCGTCTAGATTGGCCGAAAACGCTTCTCTCTCATTTACAGAAGACATGATGCCCCAATCGAAATCTGAGTAGTACTGAGGAGAAAGCCAATTGATGGCCGAAATACCAGCAGATTGTTCGGGAAATTCCTCGTTCTGAATGAAGTTGTCCATGGCATTCATCCCATAACCTACTCCGCAGTTGTTGACTGGGAAATTCTGACCGCTGTCTCCAGGGACTTGCGGAAGAGTCCACGATGTTTCGACTGCGCGCCTTTCCGACGCGTGATTCGTGGTCGGGAATGGTATCTCGGTCATCCCTGGAGGTTGTGGAACTTGTGCTGGGTCGGCATACTCCATGACCTCTCCCTGACTGTCATGTCTGTCTCCAGGAGCAGTATTCTCATCCGGAGATCGTAACGCTGTACGAGGACCTCGGCGGCGGCCAGCTGGGTATTTGCACTCGAGACCTTTACCCGTACAGCGACGACAGGGGCTCTCTTTCGAGCATCGTGAACGGCTTATAGCGCATGCCTGACATGCCCTGGAAGATGCGACGGGCCGCCGAGACTCGCTTGCGACCTCATCATGAGAGGCCGCATGGCGAGTGAGAACATCCCTATAACTACATTAGTGCATGAGATTAGTGAGAACATAATGAGAACGTACAATCGGGAGAAGCTCTTGCCGCATGCTGAGCACGAGAAAGGCTTTTCTCTAGTGTGCGATCGCTTGTGCCGAGTCAGATGCTCCTGGCGGCCAAAGGTGCTCCCACAGTAATCGCATTTGAACACTGGAGCATCAACCGTTGGATTTGCGACGGCGATGACGTCCTCGCTATCGGACGTCGAGTCTGTCCGCTCGTTGCCGGCCTGTTCCGTCTCTGCCATTATGCTTTCATCTTACTTATGAACTAGACACAGCGTCATGTTCAGCAAGTGAGCGCATCATGCTGGATCACTGAGAGCGATGGAAAGAGAAGAGGAATGAGCATCAAAACCTGCTGATTAGTGTCGTATTATTTGAAAATAAGGCGGGGAGCATGCACTAAAGACAATTGGGCTCAGTGGCGTGTTTACCCCGAGGAACGCGAGATGAGATGAGTTCCGGGGCGACTAGCCGCACGCGGGGTAAGGAGGAACACCGTCCATTTGAGCGGCATATGACCCCTGCAGCTTATGCCGTTTCTCTTACTATTCCGCTGTAACTCGCCAAAAACGTGGTGGCCAAGAGGAAGACAGCCCCGAATGTGACGTTGAATGTTGACCTTGTCAGTTCTAGCATCAGTCCTCAGCGTCTTGAGGGTCTATTCAACTAAAGAGATCTATCCTACCCTGACTTCTGCAGAACCACTTCTGCCTTTGACTTTCTAACAAAAACTGGCATCCAGTCTAGAGGGCACTCGATCTCAATGTCCTGCCCGCCCTCAAATTCCTGCTCCTCAGAGCCCTCGTGAGGAAGGGTTGTCCATCGCTCTCCACTATCCAACTTCGGCAGATAGACTTTGGCCTTGGTGATGCCGGGATTGACAATGGGGCAGCAAAGATAGGCATCACCATACATGTACTGCTCAGCCCCAAGCTGCCAGCACCTCTGATCTCCCGGGAACTCGTAAAATAGCGATCGGATGACAGGCGATCCATGCTCGTGGGCCTCGGCCATCAGCCGACGCGTATAATCCCTCAGCTTTTCGCGGATGAAGAGATACTTTTGGCAGATGTCATAGACTGCTGGGCCGTACGACCAAACCTCGTTGGCCGCTCCACTGCTCGAAGCCAAGCCGCCCGGCTTCGGTTCTCGGTCGCCGTGCAGTCTCATCACGGGGCAGAACGCGCCCCATTGGAACCACCGGACGAAGAGCTCCCGGAAGGCTTCGTCTTCGGGGTTGCCGCCGTGGAACCCTCCAATGTCGGTTGTCCACCAGGGCAATCCCGCAATACCCATGTTTAGTCCAGCTGCCAGCTGGTTGCGGAAGCTACCCCACGAAGACGCGATATCACCGCTCCAGACGAGCGCGCCGTACTTTTGACTTCCGGCCCATGCGCAGCGTAGCAAATTGACGATGTTCTTCTGGCCGGCCTCCTTCTGACCTTCGAAAAACGTTCGGGCATAGTCTTTGGGATAGATGTTACCGACGGACAAGTTCGGGCCGAGGAAGTAGCGGTAGTTCTCAAAGTCGTAGACAGAATACTCTGGCTCGGCTTGGTCAAGCCAGAATGTCTTGATACCCTTTGAGAAGTAGTTTTGCTTGGCCTTGTTCCAGACGTATTCACGAGCCCCCGGGTTCGTGGGGTCGTAGTATACGGTAGAACCTTCGAACTCAAAGTTGGTGCGGACGCCTCTCTCGGTGCGGACGAGGAATCCTTGCTCGAGCATCTCTTGGAAGTTTGACGATCTCTGATCCACTGTCGGCCAGATTGAGACCATGAGCTCGACGTTCAACTCACGAAGCTCTTGGATCATGGCATCTAGACTACGAATTAGTTGCTGTGACAGACATGGAAGGTCGGTGAGCTGTCCTTACCTGGATCGGGCCAATACTGAGGGTCAAACTTCCACTCGCCTTGCAATGGCCAGTGGAAGAAGTCGATAACGATGAGATCGAGGGGAAGCTCCCGACGGCGGTATTCCCGGGCGACCTCGAGAAGCTCCTCTTGGGTCTCGTACCGGAGTTTGCACTGCCAGAAGCCCAGGCCGTGCTCTGGCATCATGGGAGCTTTGCCAGTCACACTTGCGTAACGCTGCACGATATCGGCGGGTGTGTCGCCAGCCACCACCCAATAATCCAGAATGTTGGTAGAATACGCCTCAAAGGCAGTCGTGTTCTTTCCAAACACGACGCGGCCGATGGATGGATTGTTCCAAAGGATCCCGTAGCCTAGAGAAGACAACGCGAAAGGCACACTGGCCTGCGAGTTACGGTGTGCCAGCTCGAGGTCGAGGCCCTTGAGGTCCAAGAAGGGTTGCTGATACTGGCCCATCCCAAAGATCTTTTCGTCGGGTCGCTGACTCTCCAAGCGCATTGTGAGGTGATAGTCGCCGCCCCGAAGAGGCTTGAACTCGCGGGCCTCGACCTCAATGGCGCTACATTTGGCGTCGAGCAGGTCGCGTCGGTTGCGAGCATACTCCTCAAGGACGACGACATCATTGGCGTTGTAGATGGTAATCTTTCCCCGCTTACTTACGACTGCCTTCGCCTTCCCGTTGTGTATGGTGGCTGAGCCGTCTTCGGCGAGTGAGATCTCTGATTTGACCTGTTTCGGGTCTTCTTCCAAGGCCCATGCCTCAGTGGGCATCGCATGGGCCTTGGTAGCTCGGACTCGAAAGGCATCTGGACCCCATGGCTGGATCCATACTTGCTCCCCATCATACTGATAGATCAGAAAGCCGTCCTTTTGGTTAATCATGGCGGATATTGCGATTGGTTTCCCGGTGAGATGGCAGTACTGAGGTCGATTTCACCGTAGAAATGCAGGCAACAGTTGATAAAGAACTGGTAGATGAACAGAGAACACGAAACCTACAAGGCAAGTGAAAAGCCAGAGATAAGGACCTCCTCACAAGCTTCGACCCATTGTTCCATCCGGAAACCCATTGGCGGTTCTCCTCTTCAACGGGCTTAACGCCGCCGCGTGATCACCGGCGACAGGAACATCCGTGAACATGATGACCCAACTCTTCGAAGTTTCTCCACCGGAATTATCGTTGAGAAGACGGGCCCGTGGGGCTTCTGAAGCTCAAGCCACGCTTCCAGCATGAAGGGTTGCTAGGCTGGTTGGTTTGATGGTCGTGTTACCCCGCCGGAGCAAAGGCAAGTCTGAGCTCCGGTGGGGAGACAAACCCCGCGATTCTCCAGGAAACTAACCCGGGTGGACAATACCGGCAGAATCCATTCAGGCGAGAACAAGTCAGAAAACTCAATTGTACTTTGATATTGAGTCCAAGTCAATGACTAGCTCGCAAACGAGTGTCCTTGATTCCATATCCATCCCTGATCCTGTCTCCCGAAGCAACTCTCAGTGAGGTACTCGCTGAACTCCACCGGGTCTCCTTCTCCGACACCATTTATATCATACATCATGACTAAGACTAACGTTAGCTAAGAAATACGGTTGGGGGATTTTATCTTACTCTGCTCGAACTCCGAGAGCGCTTGTGTTATGATTGGGTCCTCGCTAAAGCTCAAGCTCATTGCGGCATCCTCGTCCATGTCAGCTGCTGTTGTGCTTTGCTGTAGCGCGGCCCGGTCGATGTGGCTGCTTGGGTCTATAGGGTTTGTTTCGGTGCTTCGGGCGGTGACTTCCATTGTATCCGAGCTACCACTTATTTCAATGTCTCTGCCGTTTTGGTCAAGTTCCGTCTGAGGGGGAACATCCAAGTGAAGCATTCTCTCCATCTCTTTAGTCATGACGAGCTTCATCAATTTCGTTAGAATATTCAGCCCCTGTTCAGCAACGACAGACTTGGACTTGAGTTGAGAATGCATCTCCATCAACTTTCGAAGACCCATTTTGGAATCGTAGGCTTCCCGGCTTAGGGGGTCCAGTCCTGTCATGATGGAGAGCGTGACACCTGCAGTGAAGAGGTGCAATGCAACAAAAGACAATGCGTAAGTGTCGATTACCTCTTTGAAGTGCGGCGTGCATCCAATGTTGGCAATCTGCAAGGCCGCGTCTCGGCAACTTCGCACCGAGCCTTGGAGCGGATCGTTCTCTCCGATTGAACGAAGATCGGAGCCTTCGCTCGTATTGATCTTTTTCATCGCTCTGTAGGCTAGCAAGGGCCTGTGAACCAAGATTCTCGCGTTCTCGTAGGCGAGTTTGAGTGCGAGCCCCTGGATGCGAAAAGTGTGCTGATGGTGTTCAGGGCATAGGGAGTGATTGGCGCTCCAGGGCCCGGCAGCTGCGGTTGCGATCTCGTCTTCTTTAAAGACCAATTCTTGTGGGAGTCGGCCGTGCCATTCGCGGATCTGTCGGTCCAGGCTTGTGACGCTATTTATGAGACGTTGGACTAGTGGGCCTTCAGTCCTCGCACCAAGCTCACTGCTGTTGGGCTGCTTTCGGTTTCCGTATAGCTCTGAGAGCGCCCTTTTCACGATGATCGACAGCTGCGCCATCGACACCTTGTATGAGAGTACAGAAGCTTTCCCGGTGGATTTCCATCTGATGGACTCCCAAGACGCATCTTTGGACCGCAAGGGATACTGTTCGGGGACTTCGACGTTACAATCCTCGTCCACAATGCTGAGAGGAAAGCCATACAGCATCGAGCAAAAGGTCTCAATCTCGTAGATGGCCCACCAGCATCGCTTGCGCGTCTCAGCTGCCCTATGGACTGGGTTGTCAACATCGGGTACCGTCGAGGATTCATCCTCATCTTTGTGCCGTTGATGAAGTTTCAGAGCTTGGGCGATACGCAGACCGCTTCCGCAAATCGGCCAGGCGAGTTCGGGTTCCCCGTGATACAGGTAAAAACTTCCCAACAGGATACACATCTGCACAGCCTCGATGGATCCCAAGGAGACGACGTCGAGGAATCTCACCTTCAGCGTCGCCAATATGCTTTCTTGTAATGACTCTGGATCCACGCCAAGTTCAACGAGTTGAGAGTGCTGCTCGGGGCTCGCGTAGCGGAGACTAGTTAAGCAAACAGCAAGCACAAGACCAAGAATGCCCGGATTGGCTTTTCGCGGCGGAGGCCCCCGTGATGTAGTCGTGTGGAGTTCTTGGACTCGAGCTCGAAATTCGCTTGTAAAGAATATCATCATGAACCAATGGATCTTCTCGAAATAGATATTAACGAGCAACGCCACAGGAGCAGCTTCTGGCAAGACGGAAAGAAAGTCTCGCTGTGCTGCGACCATGGCACCATGATGCCGTGATATAGATCGGATCCGCTGCTGGGAAAGGGGTCGAGATAATGACGGGATGGAAACACTGGCTTCCCTGGTGTCTTCATGGGCACCTCGCGAAGTCCACTCGGTAGCTGCGAAGGCTGAAGTGTCTGCTTCTTCGGGCGTGTGTATGTCGTGATGTTGGAATGCCTTGCTCAAATTCTCAGTAAGGTCTATGTCTTGCATTGTAATAGTGATTTTGGAGAAGATTTTACCTCGTCTAAGAAGCTGACCGCAGCTGAGTTTGTTGACCATGGTCTACTAGACGTAACCTGCTCCGACGATGCCCGAGGTGCCGGACTTGATTTACCGGGAAGTGACTGACGTTCTGGTGAAAGTGTCAAGGGTGGCATGGTAGCTACCATAATGGGAGACTTGTTTGCCTCAATGAGTTCCTCAGCTCCGGTTGCTCGGTGGTCCCGTTCCGCTAGACGAGACCTGCCTATGCCTGGCACCCTGTCTCCCTTCCGAGTCCGTGACGGGGTGATGTTGGGCCCCTGGACCCTCCATATGCTAGGTGTCTCATTGATGCAGTCCACTCCGGCTCTGATGCACAGAGTACAGGGACGTTGAGTATCGCACTGGCCAGGCTTGTTAGATGATGTAAGACATCACTGCCAAGCTTGAATGAATGGGCAGCCTACCTTCAATTTCTGTTTTCGACAGCGTTGACAGGCGGCTGCTACCTTCCTCCTCGGTCTCTTCGACTCCATGGGCATTGTAGTCTTCGAACTGTTCATTGCTGAAAGCTGGCTCGATTTGATGAGCAAAACGTTGTTGACGTGGAGATGTGAGTCGGAGGTTGTACCGGGCAGAAGAGAAAGTTCCACCGGAAAGAAAGACTAAAGTCGGTAATGCGCTAGGCCATTTACAGTAATTCATTCCGGTCGAGCACCTACTAGCTACGCAATTTCCGATCAAGTTGAGCCAGCTTTTTCACCTCACCTCAGCAAATGCAAGATTTTAGCTAAAATAACTATTTCTACCCGTATGAGTCTGATAGGAAGCCCTGAACTCTGAGAGAAGATGCTGAAGGTCCGGTGTGCAACATGCAACATGCCTTAATGAATTCCCGACCAGCAGGCAGTGCTGAAGGCTACCCTCCGATCGTCACCTGGATGTGCTGAAACGTCGGCATAGAGATTTATGTGACAAAAATTGGGTGGAGGTAGTGTGGGAGGCCGTGGGCAAGATGGAGCTGGATACATGTGGTATTTCAGATACAATCCTTGTATAATAGGTGGACAAAGTTGCTAAACTTCCGCACTGTACCTAGGCTGGGTCCTTTTGGTCCAAACACCCCTTTCATGTTCGTCAATCATTGAAGGAGACTACCGCTTTGAGCTAACATAATATCAAACGACCGCCTCGTTCTCTGACACCCTCCAAACAAGTCTCTCGCCGCTCACAGCCTTGTTTCGCAAAAGCACAATGGCATCTTGAGCCCGTTCCAGTAACGTGTCGCCCTCAACTATCCTTTGAGGGTTTGGCCTCACCACCCTTTGCTCTAGCAATGATGGTATTATTTCACATTGCATCTTGTCCTTGAACAGCTTGTTCTACGTCAAATGTCAGTCAATAATCAATATTTTCAAGCCATCCTTCAAGGAAAGGATCAATACCTTGAGATAGAAATGTGTTCTGACACCTTTCACAACAACACCTTCTTTCCATTGTCCTTCTGCAGGCTCAGTCATCTGGTACACAGGAGCTTCAATCTCTGTCGGGTCTTTGATGACGACAGGGAGCATAACAGCGACCTTGGTGCCTGGATCCGCCAGGTGGGTGATAGGTCCGAGGGACCCTGACAAGTGTCCAATGCAGTCAATAACGTATGGCACGCCCTTGGGGCCTAGATGGTCCTGGATGCTCTGAACGACATGCTTGTCTCGATAATCGAAGCATGCCGTCGCGCCTAGCGAGGTGAGGTACTCGTGGTGTTTCCCGCTCGCGACCACAATGAGATTCTTGTATCCCCAGTGCCGGAACACCTCGATGGAGTACATGCCAACTGACCCGGATCCGCCCCACAACAGGATCGGCGCATCCGCTTCCGGGGGTGTCCATTTTTCCGGGATAGGCCATGGGAGCGGCAGTCCGAGATCGACAGCGGCCTGGAAGACGGTAACGATGTTGTCAGGTACAGTTACGGCTTCTTGCATCGTCAGCCCCTTGGGCATCTTACCCAGCAAGAAAGTGGGGACGGTGATGAGGGTTTGAGCAGCCTTTTCCTTCCCGTCCTTATCGTCGCGGAATGAGTACCCCAGAACTTTGTCTCCGACTTCGAGGTCGACGTGGTGCGGCCCGGGCCCGACTAGGAGTACCGTCCCTGCAAAGGTGTCGCCCAGGATGCGGGGGAACATGTCGATCAACAGGCCGCCGTCTGCTTGGTGCAGATGGTAGGGCGTGGAGGAGGTCCATTCTACCTGGACAATGACCTCGCCGGCGTCAGGTGGATATGTCGGGGCATCGATGAGGATGAGAGGCTCTCTCGGAGCCTTGACTGCCACTGCGGGATGGATAGCCGGGATTTCGATTTCCATGATGGGCGTTTCTTTGTTTCCGTTCTTCTTGTCACTTTTGGAGCTTCCCCTTAAGAACGTTTCTTCAACGAATTCAAGGAGAGGAACAAGCTGGGGTTTTAGGTCGTAGAGAAGCTCGAAGATCAGGACCCACTGACGATCATACGAGGCGAACCGACAGATCGAATGGTTCGTTCACACGAGATGCAGATTTCTGATGGAGAAAGATGGAAGAATAAGCTTTGGATTCTGCTCTCGGGTCAGGGGTCTGATGACAGCATCGTGCATATCTAGTCCGTTTACTAGCAGCTGTCTTCGTCGCCCCTTACGATGATGGCAGCTCTGCGGGGAGAGGGGAGCTTACCAATCCTGGCTGGGCCCGTCGCCGTGGCAAAAACGCTTACGATCGTCTCAAGAATGTCGGGGCATTGTGGCATTTCCTCTTGTCTTTCCCGCTGTTGTCCGTGTGCAGTCTCTGGCTCGTGCGCGTATCCGTTTATGCATTGTTGCTCATGTTGAGATGAACGCCGCAACGACGTATGCCACCGGCGCCGGGAGCCGGCTGGAATGTGCTTTCATAACAATTCGAGCCGTGGCCGGCCTTCTTCGGCGCCGAGAAGACGCTCACATCTGTGCAGTCCTACTCTGGTCCATGTATCATCGAAGAATCCTATTCGCAAAAAGTTCCCTTCCCTGAAAGATTCAGTGAAGAGTGTGGACAGTTCCGGCCCGACGTCCGTAAGCGGAAGAAATGCGACTCGGCGAGAACCGGCGAGAAACAAGACTGCCGATCCGGGTGCAAACCCCACCGTCTCCACAGTTCCGGGTCTAATCGCTGGGCACACCGGCACAGAATCTCGTGAAGCAAAACTCGTCCAAACCTTTCAAAAGTGAAATCCGAGAGTGAGGCAGCACAATGGACGTCCAACGCAAAAGATAATGATCAGTGGGAGGCTTGAACTCCCGGCCTTGGCATTACAGAACATTTCTGATGAAATATTAGTACCACGCTCTAACCAACTGAGCTAACCGACCAGTTGTTGTTGAAGAACCTTGAGCCCTAGGGCGTCTAGGTTGGGTCCACTGCGTGATTTTCCCTCAACCTCGTGTCTCCACACACTCCGACAGACAAGAGTCTCGAAAAAGCGCAGCTCACAGGGATACAAGGCTGTTTGACTCATCTGGGTGTCAAGCTTGATGCCTGGGGCGGGTACTGTTCCGAGAAGCTGGCTCATCTGACCCAGTCGGTGACATAAAAGCTCTTCAATAACTCGGACCATTTAGTCTTGGTTACGGGTGCTGTCTAGTGATAAGCACAGCATACGACAAACACATTTGACAGGGTAATAGATCCAATGACTGTTACGTCTCTTCAACATATTCCTTGGTCGAATCAGGTCTATGAGCGGTATCTGTCTACAAGTCGATTTTGTTGTGACAGTACATGTGACCTCCCATCGGGGCTTGTGGCTTGAAACCACCATTTTTCCTAGTCGCAGGCTATAAATCCCCAGCTTGAAGTTTCAGGGCAGGCACTGGCTATAGTACTGATTCGAGACTTTACAAGTTCCTTGGGAGCAGGTCGTACCGCCAGTCCATCCTTGGCCGCCGCATTGCCCGTACAAAGCCACAGTCTTGCCGCCGCTGCTGGACGGAGGGGAGCTCGAGACAGGAGCGGAGCTGGAAATAGCCGGGGAGCCATTGCCACTTCCAGAACTTCCAGAACTTCCAGAACCTGAACAGCTAAGAACCGAAGGGCCCGGGATTTTGTATGAGCGGCCGCCGTTTGTCGGCTTCCCGGAACTGTCGTAGATGTTGATGAGAATGCCTGGGTCTGTCGCGGAGTAGGCGCCAGGAAACTTGACAGTGTTGGAGCCGGCATTGGTGCCTGAGCCAGTTACCCGAATTCTGAAGGACTTCGTGTTAGGACTCATCAACTCTCTTTAGACCTTGCACGATGTGGTTTCAACTTACTGGGCGCATTCCATGTAGAACTGGGCCTCTCCTTGTGTAGAGGCAGAGTGAAGGGCAATAATTTCGACGCGCAGGAGGTAGTCTCCAGGAGCTACGCATGAGGGTAGAGTGAAGTAATGCCAGCCATTGTTCGCTATCATGGTGTCTACCGCCCAAGTACTTCCGCTCAGGCTGGCTTCAGCAATCTTGAACCAGTTGAGGCCTGTCGTGCCAGTGCTAGCAGCGTTACTAACTTTGGCCAGGTAGACAACGATAGGGCCTGTTGTTACATTCGCGTTAGCACTTCGACTTATTCAAGATTCTAGCAGAGAACGTAATGTGGTAAATGAAAGCCCGAGGCTGAGGGTCTCACCTTTATGACTTGCGGCTATGGGATTATCGGCGTCGTTTGTGCCTTGAGCACCTCCAATGATGTGTCCCCACCAAGCACCAACCTTCGCACCAGCGGCGATAGACACAACATTGTTGTCCTTGTACTGGATGTTGTTGTTGCAGGCGAAACCAGCGTCGTTGACGTTTTGAATGGGGTTGCTGCTTGAAGGTGCGCGAACCCCTTTCAATGCTCCTTGGTCAACTCCATTAATAGAGAGCTTCTGGAAGATTGTATGGCCAGACACGGCGGCAACAAAGCCGAGGAAAACACCTGAGAGTCTCATGTTCAAAGATGCTGTGTCGTTGAGCCCTATTCAAAGCCTGCTACAGCGGTCAATGGATATTATGTCAAGCTCGATCTGTGGATGATTGATTGATCTTATATATGTACGCACTTGAGGAATATGTCAGACCTGTTGTGGTCACAGCCTCCTATTTGGTGGATATTGAAGGGAGAATCTCATTCCAAATGCAATTTGTTGCAAACTTTGGCGGCATCTCATGAAATTCGAAATATCTTGTCTGGGTAATAAATGCCATACAAGCCAGGGGGCATAAGCCAGTGAGACTCGTCCAGGACTGTAACCCACTTCCGGTAGCTGCGCTTACCCGCGAGTCCACAACGCCTTCTTTGTTCTAGCCCACGTCTCCAAATACTCCTTCATGATTGCAACCTGTGGTTTGTATCCCTTGATGCGGCGAAGGGAGTTGTACCCTGGCAAGCATGTTTGCTTCTTATGACCTCGCTTAAACAGTTGGCAGCTCTAACCGATCCGCCCGGGCCCCGAGCCACAAAGTCGGGATGCCGGAGGGCAAGCGAGTATTTCAGTACTGACTAGTTGTCGAACATCGCTTAATTGTGGCTGTTAGAAGTTGAGACTAGCGGCTTGCTGTCAAACGAAACTAGCAGATGTCAGGAACCATCTTGATGGATTCCACCCGTCACTAGACACGGTGATCGTTAATTGCACATCGCATTTTCAAGTTTCTTCACAATAAAGAAGCCCCCTTAGATCTGGTGCTACCCTAGTGTCCTGATGCACCGGTATCCTGAGTGCAATGAAGCTGCTGTGGCCAATGGCCATGAACCAAGCTATAAGTCACCTTGTCACACTCACAGCACTAACTTCACGGGTCAAGAACATGGGGGAAAATGTGTCATTGGTAGAATAGGTGTTCATCAATGGAAATGGTATAATTACGATGGCTTATGGTTGTCGTGCTGATGGCAATGGACATTATCCTAATAGATCCTCCTCCAACGTCGTCATGGAGGATCACCCGGACTATCTTCTCCCTCGGCATGGGGCTTTACTCGGCCCCATTTGCCCCACCCCGCTGCGATGACCGGGGCAAGGAGGGGCATAATCGGTGGCCAGCCGGTAGACGGAGGCCGCGTTCTTGCGAGGAGGCCGAGAAGGCAAGAGTTTGGAGGTGTGCAGTCTGGTCTGTGTTTCAGACATGCTTCCTCGCGTAGTGCAACCAATGATCCCGAGGCCCTCAAGTGCAGATGACTTCAGCGCCGAGTGAACGACGGGGATAGCCTGGTCTGCGAATAAAGTCTGCCGCCATTTCTTCAATGTTCGGTACCTGGCCAATGCTGGTAACAGAGCATGCCCTGACTCCCACATGGCTTTATAGCCTTGACCTCGAAATAAGCTCTACTCGCATCTCTTGAGATGTATGATGAAGCAAGTTTGCCTGCACATTGGTGACCTCCATAGTTACCACAGCCAACCTAATCAGGAAAGTCGCAAAGTGTCCGAAAGGTACTCGACTCAAGTTGTGGGCAAAATGCATCCAGTCCATTAGCATAGCCATCTAGTAACTTGCGAGATATAACTTCGGGTTGCATAGGCTCCGATTTTATCAAAGCCATCAGAAATCGACGACCCCAGTTAGTGAGCTGCTGATAAGACGATACTAATACCTGCCATTGTCACTCAATGCCAGAGATCGCGGGCACTCAACTCACATGCCGGGAAGTGAGAGGGTCCAGACCTGGGGTGCTGTCGATCTGATGAGCTCGCTATGGGGTACGTAATGAACTATCATCTTGGCAGTCACTGGCTCTTTGTAACACCTACGCCTAGCTGGGCAGAATGGTGAACCGTGTCTTGTCTTGGACTGAATAAGATTAGTAGGATGCTGAAGCAAGCTAGGCCAACCCCTCTTGGTGGGACTGACTGTGGCCAGTAGATGCTAGTCAACGTCTCGCAACGTCCGATCAGGCGGCTAAACGAGCTCGGGGCCTTCCCCGGAGCCACGGCTTTGCGACGGCTGTAAGTTGCCTATTGCGAGAAACGTTGTTTTGTTTTTAGATTTTTGACATCTGACGCCCATGCCAATTACTTACATTGTCCTCGGAATCGGTCCGCAAGTAGACACCCCGAGCAAGTGCTGACGTTGTTAGCCCACTGTCGCTTTTGTACTAGCCCCGGCTCCCGCGTCTCGCTACTTGGGGTGGTGATCGTGGCTGTCGAGACTCTGAATGTGTTTCTTTGTCGATGTCAGAATTGATGGCTTTCCGCGGACCCGGAAATCTGGGTCGACTGCCGTTTGCAGCATTCTCAATTGTATAACGCTTTGTAAGTTAGTCATCAGTTCAAAATCCTTGGTTTGGAGACTTTGTTCCGCCTGGAGGAAGCCGCGCCAGGCCGAAGAAACTAAGTTTCCTTTCACCCAACCATATAATCGGATGATGGCGAATGGGCTCACCCTCAGACACGCAGTTCTGCGACCTATTGCCTGTGGCTGCTCGGGTCCGTGAGAGAATGGGCTCGATCCCGTCCCTCTTTCTAGAACGAGGTTTCGAGTTTCACACATTTCTCTTACTACCTGCTGTACCTACTGCCCCCCTCACTCTCCCCAAAACCCTTTACCCATTTCTCGTCGTCCCACATCATTGTACTCAAACTGGCAGAATACGACCGTACGTAGAAATGCCATGTTTGCGCTTTGCCTCGATGATCGAATGACACCACGCCAGCGCGTATGATGTACTTGCTGTACAAAACGATAACCCGAGCGACGATACCACCGTTTCCCATACTACCGCGCGACATCGACCCCTCTGACGATGTTGTCGATAACCACGACATTAGCGCCATAATCGTAGCATCAGTGGTTCCGACAACCATCATATCTACGTTATTCGCGTTTGCGCGGCTGTACGTCAAGGGATGGGTCCAGCGCCGGATCCAATATGACGACGGGATTCTCCTGGCAGCGGTGGTGGCGGGATGGACGGCGACTGGGACAACGCTAAAGGCCGTCGCGCTCGGCAACGGGAAACATGTTAATATGCTCACCGATGAGCAGAAAGAAGAGACACTGAGATGGACGATATTTTCATTCGGCTTTGGAATCATTGCGCTAGCTTTGCCGAAGCTCGCCGTAGTGGCGCTGATGAACCGATTACTCAACCCGAGACGACTTCAACGACTTTTCCTCTGGACACTGGGCTTGTTGTGCTGCGTAGGATTATTAGGAAATGTGATTGGGCTCTTTGCGGAGTGTCCGCAAGAAGCTGTGGTCAACATCACGTACACGAAAACCGCCTGTCTAGGCCCAGAAAGAGCGGTTGCATACTCAATATCAACAAGTGGTGGGTTTAGCTTTTTCGAAAAAGTGGCGGATGTAGAGCGGATCAACTGATCAGTGTGACACATCTAGGCATATCCGCTGCTACAAATGCTTACCTCGCCATCTACGTGGCATTATCCGTTCGAAGGCTGAAGATTGCACGAAGAAAGAGGCTAGCTATTACGATTTCTCTTGTTCTGGGTCTACTGTTAGTCAAGCCGGGGACGACATGCCTCTTCAGCACGACCTGGAGACTCCAGTCTCTGAACCGTCTATAAGATAATGAAGATATTGGAAGCTAACTTGTACACTAGTGCATTGTTTACCGCCTTATTCAAGTGCACAAGACTAAAGTCCCTAGGAAGCCCCGACTTCACTTGTGAGTAGGACTCTACTTCTAGTTGGCGTACGTGAGGGCTGATTATTGGATACAGACGACTCAGCCGACCTTGTGATATGGACCAGGTAAGGCATCGATGATACTACCCAGGAAATATCTTGAAGAACGAGATGAAGGCTCAAAGACTCTTTGAGGTTGATACGCAAGTAAATCAAACATCTCTGACGTCGAATGTAGTCTTGAGGCAGACGTCGTCATTATCGCCGCGTGTATTCCAGCCCTACAGCCTCTTGTCGATCACCTCTTCCCAGGGCACTTCTCAACGCCGATGCCATCTCCAACTATCCCGGCTTCACCGACCTCTACCGCCTCGAGAAGGAAGCTATGGCCTGGTCCCACATGTGGTGACCTCGAGGCTGCAAGAGACTTTAGCCTTTCTCCACAGGGCCTTGAGATGATCATGGTCGAGAAGGAATTTGAGATTGCCTACAGCAGAACTACAGTGAAGAGGTCCTGCACATCCGACACATGGGTTTCGGAATTGCCGGATGAGGAGAAGTTCAGGATAGTAAAGGATCATGGGCCTGATGGGTCAATCACGACGACGGTGGTGGTGAGATCTGCAACTCGTCCACCGGATCATCCGGCTTTTCCGCCTCAATGACGGCACGGATGATGATGACAGATAACGAAAGACTAATACCCTTATACGTACTTAATGATCAAAGTAGTGATTAGCTCACATTTATGTTAGAGTTGTGGCAATGAAACAAGCCGGGGTGTGACCTTCAGACGATATTCCCGTTTAACGTTCTCTTCTTACTATTTAACAAAGTTCACTCGCAACCAAAATCTCCTCTACAGCAGCCTCACATGAATTGTACAATGACTGAGGGTGGAAAGGCTTACTGCGTGCAGTCGCTTTCACTGTCGAGAGCTGCACCGCCTTACTCTGTATCTCAAGTTTCTCGTACACTTACACATCAGTGTAGAGAATGAATCCGGGAACTTCCTCTCCGCAAACCATGTACGTCCAAGCTGCGCTAGGTAAGTAGTCAAAGAACGTTGCCAGGCGTGCTCCGTCCTCAGGTGCGAAAAGCGTCCTGTCCCGCTCGTGCTCTTCCGCAACTTTGGACGGCAGCGACCAAGCCAGGAAGTGGTCCCGTTCTTTCCCTGGCGGAAAAGCCCTGTCCAAAGTGTAAGTGATACGACAAGAATCCGAAACCGAGGTTATCATGATCTACTCACAGAGAATTACCGAGTGCTCCGTGACACAGACAAGGCTCTTTACGCAAAAGGCCTTCCTTCCAGATGAACTCTCTGCCAAGTTTGAGAGCTTTGCCGATTTCTTCCTTCAAATCTGGAAAGAACTTCTCAAGGTGCACGAGTGAGAGAACGAATCCAGGTGCTCCATGGCAAAACTGAGTCAGGCCCTCGTATATGGTATTGCCTGGGTCGTCTTTCGTCTCCCAATTGCCGTTCTCTCGCTGTACTTCAAGCATTCGCTTGAGTGAGGCTCGGATCATCGGGTTCTCCGCCAGTTTCGGGTCTGTCAGTATGAGTTGGGTCAAGATGCCAATATCACCGTGGACGGCACCGATATAGCGCTTCCCGCGCCACGTCCATAAGGGCCCTGCACTAAGTGTCTTTTGGACGATTCGGACTTTCGCGTTGTCAAGTTGACTTGCCGTTCCCGGCCTCTGATATATGTCATTGTCAACTTCACCTTGAACATCAATATGAAAACGCAAGTCGGACACGTACCGCGGTCTCGACGGCACGGATCATGTACAAGATACCAGCATAGCCAAAAAGCAACTCATACGGATGGTCGTCTTCGTCGGCAAGCCTTTCTAGCACTTCTCGTAACTTTGGCGCCTTTGATTCGTCCAGGATCGTCTGCACCGCCCAAAAGGCAGCGCTTTCGCATGCGAGGCCACAAGGCGCTGAATCTCCCGCTTCGCGCTCGGCTGCGATATATGCGGCTGCCCAATGTTGAAGTGACTGGTTCTGGATTCTGATTTTGGGATGAAACTCATTGACTCTAAGCAGTAGATATGCCAAAGACGTCGGACCGCGGAAAAAGCCTCGACATTGTTCTTTCGTGTATGCTTTCAGAGGGGGATGAGCTTGAACGATCTGTGTCAACAACTCTTTCACACGATCCTCTGGGTTTTCTCCATGGCTGAACGAAGCATAACTCTCCAAAGAAGTTGGGGTTGGAATGAAGCGCGGCGTGTCTAAAGACATGTCGATTGTAGATGCCTAGTAACTAAGTATGCTTGAATGTAGACTTCTTCTAGAGTGCCTCCTTGATTGTTGTGCGCCGTTCAAATCTTTGTCGTGTTTGAAGAACTCTCCTCGGCATGCATCGCAGTCCTTAATGGTGGTAGTGGCTGACTCTTTCGAGAAAATAAGTAACTTATCAGCTAGGCAGCAACGCCGGGATTCAGGAATGACGTCAAGTTCATGCATGTGTTTGTCAGCATTGAAGATAAGAGTGAAAGTTGTCTAGAAACTCGTGTCAAGCCTCGAGTAAGTTGTTAGATATTGACAGACACGAAATAAGATTCAGTCTCATTGGCTAAATGCGAGTACAAAACCTAGCAATAACTCCTAAGTACCACATTTGCGTAGCAATTTGGGAATACTTGACTAAACTAGGATGTTTGGGGATTGGATCAACCAACGGGCCATATTATTTGAAATATCTTCAAGGGAAACCTTTAGTTTTCACCGTCTTGCGGTGTCGCTCGATGTTCAGTGTAATCACCAGATGTCAATCCCCAATGATGCCTACCTACTTACCTAGGCACGTCTTGAGGTATGGTGGTATCCACGGTCAAGACAATTTGTATGCACTCTCTCCCCACGTCCATTATAGAACAATTCCTCGCTCACTTAGGTGTTGACATACCTAGTCGCCTATTAAATGCAATGAACTATGTTTAGTGTTGAGTTTCCAGATACACATGTGGTCTGGTTTGCTAATGCCTTAGGTTAACAATAGCGTGGGGAACCTTTCTGACGGCAACCCCCTGAGGCTTCAATTAGAGATTGAACCAAAAGCCTCCAATAAATAGTATTACCTCGAGTTGAGATGCTATGACAGTCTGTCATGACGGTCTTGATCAATGACGCATCCTCCCAAGACTCATATAGACACAGCGTTGATCACTTTGATATGATTTTGGCTTTTTCAAAGTTCGAACGGTACGGATTCCATGCCCGTAGTCCTACTTCATTTCATTCGTCCCCTAGTCTTCCTGAGAGGTCTAGTTGGGAACGGCCATGAGTTCCTTTTGAAAGATCCAAGACTCTCATGTTGCCGATGGTCCGCCCTCAAGTCTTGGCGTAGAACACTCATTGCCCTGTTTCATGCCCCTTTCTCTTTAGAGTGCCTCCGTTCTAGTACAACTCCCGGCCCCCTTTGTTCTCCCTCTTTCCCGGGCTTTTTCAGGAAATCCCACCAATTGTCCATGCCTTTTTCTGATTCTGCGGTTCCACCAAGGGGTGCAGTGGATTGCTGGTGGGTGTCCCCAAGTGCCGCATGTTAATCAACTCAAGGGCATGATTGGCGGTCGCAAGCCTGTCATTAGTGGAGAATTGGCGGAAAACGGGGGCTGCCACGCGGGCAATTGATTAAACAACGGCGGAATTCTGCTTGTCGTCGATCCATCTGACACTTTAATCTTGATGTCTAAAACATGCGACCAATTTTGAGAGGGACTCTCAGAAGACTCTTAAAGGCCTACGCTCGGAAGTTCGGCTCAAAATTCTGAGCAGTTTTGCGAACTTTGGTGCCAACACATCTCCACGAACGGCATCACTCATCCGGCTTTCTCTCCACAATGTTGTTCACGCACGCCATTCTTGCAGCTCTGGCTACCAGTGTCCTGGGACATGGTGTCGTACAGACCCCAGAGCCTAGAACGGTAGGTTCCGAGTTCATGTGGTTGCGCAGTGGAAGTTGGAGCTAATGAATTGGCTGTAGACTGGCGCCAAGCAGGAAGAGCTTTGCGGAGCTGCGGTGACAAAGAAGCTCGACAGCGATATCGCCGGCCCTATCGAAAACTCCCTTGCGGTAGCGGATGCCGACTACAAGTGCAACCTCTTCCAATGCCGCGGATACCAATATGAGGATAATGAGGACAACGTTCGTGTCGTCAAAGCCGGCGAAGTCATCCCTTTCCACATCGACCTTGTTGCTGGACACAGACCGGGACACGCCGTAAGCTAGACCCCTGCGCATCAATGAGAGAAGTTCATCCACTGACGTCGACAACAGAACATCTCCGTGATCGACCTTGCGAACAACACCATCATCGGCGAGCCGCTCATCTCGTGGTCTGACTGGCCCACCACCGACCCCGACCCGTTGGCCGACAGTAAGTGGATACAAGATTCAGCCAAGTTGCGCGCGCTCCCTACTAACAAGCACGCAGCTGACTGGAACATCACCATCCCCGATACCCTTGCCTCCGCTTGCGACGTTGGTGGCAAGTGCGCGATCCAGTGGTTTTGGTACGCCGAGACTAACAAGCAGACTTACGAGAGCTGCGTCGACTTCTACATTGGCGCATAGGTTTAAAGTGTTATGCAAGACACCTCCGACAGCGCAAAGCACATTGACGACTTCATGCTGTACATATTCCACCCGTATACTGCATCTACCATAGACAAGTACATACAAACAAAGAACTTTCTTGAACAATATGCCTTGTTGCTCTTGAAAGAGTGACTCAATCTGCGATGCTTCCAGTATTGTCGGGTAGGATAATTGAACCAGGGACTGCAGGGGAAGGAATTTATTCTGGCTTTCAATTCTCCTTGTAGGAATTGGCCTATTATCATGCGACTTGTGGCCGCGGATGATTCAGCAAATTGTAGGAAGCTTGAACTCGCAATATCCGATGCAAAGGCCAGGCTGAATCGATAAGTTCGAGTCAATCCCGGCCCGGTAATATTCATCCGGCTTTGGTCTAGCCCGCATCTCGGTGATCCGCCGCTGTCATCGGACTCGCCTTCGGCCCGTAGCTAGCGCTGAGTGGGTTACAGGGGCCGTCGAAGACCTCGGTCTTAGCCGGCCCCGCACTCAAGATGCCGAAAGAGCTGCCCGAGCTCAGGTGCTACATGTACTATCAACAATAACAAGAAGTTCGAAAGACTGGCAAACCAAATACTTCACTTTGATTCTCAATGATAGAATATCCAATTCTTGTCTAGCACACTCCCCCTGTATCTTACCCACGCACGAGCAGACCAACATCATGTCCCAGGTTCCATTCGCAGATCCACCATGGCTGAGAGGCTTACCCTCGCCGTACTTCAACGATTCACATCGCAGATTTCAAGTCGCCTGCAGAAAGTTCCTCGACGAAAACTTGCATAAGGATGCTATGGAATGGGAAACGGCGGAAGACGTACCAGCCGATTTATTCACCAAGTTCGCCAAAGGGAACTTCCTAATCCCGGCATTGCCGGCGCCTTTACCCGTGGAATGGCTTCACAAGCTGGGTGTCACGCATATGCCCGGGGAGGTACCAGTAGAGGAATGGGATGCATTGCATACCATGATCTACTCGGATGAGGTGAATTCTCTCTAATTCTTCATCTGTCCGAGTACCGCTGACGATTTGGATTGCAGATGAGTCGTTCTGGGTTGGCTGGACCTCCGGGATCATTGACTACTGGCATGGCATTTGGTGTTCCTCCTCTACTGCACTATGCGAACGCCGACGTGCAAAACCGATTTCTCCCCGATCTCCTGCTGGGAAAGAAAAGAACCTGCATTGCCATCACTGAACCGGAGTACGTTGGCCACAGAACTCTCTGACCAACCTCACCAGAGTCCTAGCTAACCTCAACGGCTCAACCACTACAGTGCAGGATCAGATGTCGCCAACATTACTACTACGGCTGAGCTCAAAGGCAACGAGTACATCATCAACGGCGCCAAGAAGTGGATCACCAATGGCGTTATGGCAGACTTCGCAACCATAGCCGTCCGTACCGGTGCTGAAGACTCAGGAGGGAAGGGCATCTCGCTGCTTGTGGTTCCTCTTGCGAATCAACCCGGCGTGAGCAGAAGGCGCCTCAAAGTCGCCGGCCAAATCGTTGCCGGTACCTCATATCTCGAGTTTGACGATGTCAGAGTGCCGCGAGAGAACCTAATCGGCAAGGAAAACGAAGGGATGAAGTATATTATGCACAACTTCAACCACGAGCGGATGTTCATCTCGGTGGGCGTTACGAGGCAAGCTAGGGTAGCTCTGAGCGCCGCGTTTGCGTACTGTATGCAGCGGAGAGCGTTTGATAAGGTCAATCTATGCCAAAGAATCCCCCAAAGTACTGCATCTAGGTTCTCTGCTAACCAGCATATCTAAAGACTCTTATCGAACAACCAGTGGTCCGTCATCGGCTGGCCAAATGTGGAGCCATACTCGAGTCGCAGTATGCCTGGGTTGAATCTTTTGCGTTCCAACTCTCTAAGATGCCAAAGAAGACTGCAGACGAGGAGCTAGGTGGTTTAACTGCCCTATGCAAAGCCAATGCTGGCATTGTTCTCGACGAGTGTGCGAGATGTGCTGTACTGCTATTCGGCGGCAATGGCTACACGCGTACGGGCAAGGGAGAAATTGCCGAAAGTGAGTCACGCTACCTTTTCATACATGAAATCATCAGAACACAACTAAATCATCCCCTTTCAGAAATCTACCGTGAGGTTCCGGGTGCAAGAATCCCCGGTGGAAGCGAGGATGTATTGCTGGACTTGGCCATTCGGCAATTGACGAAGCGTTTCCGTGCAGAGACGGAGAAGGAAAAGACGAAGTCCAAGATGTAGCTAGTCTAAAAGCCACCATAAGACTCATATAATGAGTTTGAGTATTGATTTGGTCATTCCTTGCTAGCTGTATTCCCGTGAGCGATTGCCTAAACTGATAACTCCAATTCGGTACTGACATTGAAAAACAAACAGTCAATGGACTTTCAGCGACCAAAATTCGATTTAATCTGAGGAATGGTATCTTATACGAGCGAATCGAGGACCCCAATTCTCTTAAGTACGACTCGACCTTAATCCTGGCAAGGGTATTTTACGTCGAAAAGAAGGAAGAGCGTCAGGAGTCCGGATTTCCGCACACTAAGCCGTCGTGAACAAGCGGTGCGAGGTCCAGCAAGAAGACTTCCCAGACTATGATTCAAGACTCTGCAATTGGCCATCATGGTTGATGAGCGCATGGGCTTACTTAGACAGCTGGAAAGAATCTTAATGTTGGATTTTACTCTGGTCCCGGTCCAAAGATCACTAATCGTATCAAACCTATCATAATGGATGCTTCTCCTGACTCGTCTGACTTTATGCATGTACTGGACTGGCTAACCTTCGAATATCTGGTGATTAGCTATCGGCGGGAATTACACAGATGAAACCGGCTGTTAGATCTTCGCTATGAGAGTCCGAGTTGACAAGCGGCTGATTCAGGGTTTCCGCTGGAGACTGAGGGAGATGGGAATTGGATCCGGATTGTGTTGGTTCCAGAAAACAGGTATACCGGGTGACTATCGATTCAGCGCAGCTCAGGCTTTAGTGTTCACCGCAGCCCGGCTCAGTCCTGGGGAATATGAAAGCATCTGATAAGTGCCACTTCACGTCTGGTCAGTATCCTTTCACTGTCACGATCTAGCGTGTTATCATCCTTCTTGTCAGGTTTGGTCGAGGGAAGGACTATGAGCCAGCGCCAAGAGTTGGGGCGAGCGATCCGGTGGCCAAGATTGCCGCACAAACTTTTGCACTGGATAACTGTTCCAGGGGAGGAAAGGCTAGAATGGTACTCGGTTAGCTTCGCCATACCTGCCTAGATTATGGTAACGTGCGCATGCTAAGATCCCTCGCTGCATGTGACGACAGAGAAACGAAATTGAAGCTTAAGTCGGGCTTCCGATCCCAGATATACTTTTGATCTAATCGAAACAATAACAGAGTCATAGATAGCCCGAATACTTTAAAAAAAGTCGCAGTCGGGGAAAAGACGTTTTCTGAGGCATGGATTAGTAGCCAGGCAGCATAACAAAGTTGGTGACATCGGCTAGAGAGCCTGCAGACTGGAGACGGCAAAGTACAGACAAACTTAGCTTATGATAGGCCAGGTACATGCAACCATCTTCGTCTAATTTCCGAAGTCCCTCAAGAAACCCAGACTTTTCAGATGGGAGAATCTTGGAAGGCGAAAAAGGCGTAACATTGCAAGCCGTATCTATCTTTTCGTCCAATCCTCTCACCCGGGCTAATCTAACGAATGTCTCGCTTATGTCGTTCCTTTGTTGTCTACAGAATTGCGCCATCAATCCCTCCTAAACCATGTCGAACTGTTTGCTTGGTGATCTCGTCCAACGGATTGAAGTTGCGCTGACAGAATGTCTTAGCAGTCTACTAGTGGCTCATACGATATTACCAACAATTGGCTGCGTTAGTATGGCCTAGCACCAGCAGAAAGTGACTTAAGTAAGCCACTGGCGAGCCCTTTCCAACGGTCTGGGAGGTCAATTGATGTAAGTCAGTTTCTAGGAGCCCTGATTGGCTTGCCACCTCGAAGCACCATCTTCATCCGCTTCGTCCGTCGAGATCTTTGCTAGTGTACGGTGCAACCACCTCGCCCAGATACGAGCTGGGAAATCACAATCAAATGTCTTGTCGCGTGCGTCCTCTACCAGCCTCGGCCCATTCATGGTGGATTCAGTCAGCCAGCTTATCACCTGCACATCAAATCACATCGCCAGGGTGTCGTCTACCCCAACCCCTGCCACCAAGCTCCCAACCTGATATAAGTCAAACCCCCCACTTCCCGGCACCCCCCTGTTTCTGGCACCCACAAAAACGCGAAAATCCACCACAACGCAATGCCCACCCCCAACCTCCTTTTATCACAACATTTTCAATTCGAGTCCAAATGGGCTCATTTTTTGCACATACCTTCTTCTATATCTAATGCCTCAATATACCGAAGATCAGCTTCGTCAGGCTCTCGAGGACATCTCAAACGGCAAGAGTCAAAAGAGAGCCTCATTGAGTATGGGATACCACGATCAAAACCCTCCAACTACGTCTCCAAGGTGGTCAGACTAGGAAAGTGGCTTTTGCTGACTGGCAGAGGCTGTCTCCTGACCAGGAGAGTAAGCTGGCACAATGGGTTCGCATTCAGGCTTCGCTGGGCCTCGCACCAACGCACCAACAGGTGAAGGAATTCGCAGAGCGAGTTCTGGCTGCTGCTGGGGATACCAAACCATTAGGAAAGGCTGGATCTATGCCTTCGTGAGAAGGAACCCTATCATTAAGGTTCAGAGAAGTCGTTCCATCGATTCTAGACGCGTTAATGGGGCATCTACTGAGGTCATTAGGAACTGGTAAGTTCCTTGCTATCCCTGAGATCAAGGACATCAAACCAGCCAACAGATATAATATGGATGAGACTGGCATCCTCGAGGGTCAGGAGCTAATGGGTTAGTGCTGGGCATGGCTGAGACGACGTCTGTTCGCAAGAAACAACCTGGGTCGAGGGCATGGGTCTCTATCATTGAGTGTATCTCAGCCTTGGGTAGGGCACTTCGTCCTCTTATCATTTTCAAGGAAGACGGTCCAACAACAGTGGTTTCCATTACATCTGGTTCCATACGATGGGTGGGAGTTTACAGCAACAGATAATGGCTGGACTACAGACTTAACTGCCATTGAATGGTTAGAGAAGGTGTTTATCCCACAGACTATGCCCGAGGCTGAGGGCGAGGCTCGACTGTTGATTGTGGATGGGCATGGAGTCATACGACGACAGACTTCATGTGGAATTGCTATATTAACAATATCCATTTACTGTTCTTACCACCACTCCTCTCATGTCCTCCAGCCACTTGACCAGTCTGTCTTCAGCCCTGTTAAGTCAGCCTATCGGAAGGAGCTCGGTTACTTGTCTCAATGGAACGACTCTACCATTATAGGTAAAAGGAACTTCCTGGACTGTTACCAGAAGGCTCGACTTGCTGGTCTATCAGTCTCGAACATCAGAAGTGGTTGGAAGTGGACTGGTCTACACCCTGTAGCGATGGTTAAGCCCTGATGAACCCTATGGTATTACCTGAGCCTTCTGCTAAGCCCACCACACCCAAACCAACCAGTCGGGGCAAAAGCGATGCCATAATGGTCAACAAACTACCCCTGTTGAGCCATGGGATTCTGCTTCCTCTGCAGTGGTCTGGTCGACACCCAGGAAGCTGGCAGAGCTCAGCGGTCAACTGCACTTATACACCCAACTCGACAATGATACCAGCACTCAACGGCTGCTGTTCAGGAAGGTGAAAAAGGCTTCACAGAGCAGGCCTGGCAACTGGCAGTTGCCCAGCAGCAGCTGGCTCACCTGAGGGCCAAGTTACCAACGCTGCAGTTAGGAAGAGGAAGACTGTTCAGATCGATCCCAACACGAAGTTTGCGAACATCAGGGATATCCATCGGGCTCAAATCGAAGCGGGTGAAAAGGAGGTTATTACGGCTGAATCCAGCGACTCTGAATGCCCTAGTGAGGCTGGCAGTTGTATTGTAGTGGGTGTGGTTGAGGATCAATAGTTAATAGTAATGAGGAGGTTGGGTTGTGATCCCATCGTTTTTGTGGGTGCCAGAAACAGGGGGGTGCCAGGAAGTGGGGGGTTTGACTTAGCGCGAGGCCAGCGCCTCTTCCTGGTCGGACCGGCGTCCAAGACTTGGGCAAAATGGCTCGCCCATCCCAACGGCCAAGTCAATCATCAGACAAACGATTCGTCCGCGCCCCAGGGAAAAAGCTTAAAAGAGCAACACCTGCGACTTTGCCGCACGCAGTAGTGCCAGGGCCAAAAGGATCAGCGCCATCCCCCCTCGGGCATCCCTGTCGATTCCCCCGCGTCTTGCCCCATATCGGAAGGCATCGCCGTCCCCAGACCCCCCGGGGTTGACTGCGGGGGAAAGTGGATGAGGAGAAGTCGGCCGAGTAGATAGCGCAATGGAGGAACGACAACGACCTTGCCTTAGTAAGTGAAAGATTTTGGTGTGCTGGTGTGTGTGTGCGCTGGTGTGGGTGACATCCCTCTCCACCTGCGTCGTATTAGTGATGATATTCCCATTTACGGCTCGACGGACATGACCTCATGCCGACCAGCCGCCGGCTGGGAGCACAGCAACCCACATGTGAAAGCGAAAATTTGTGAGGGAAATTAGATAGCTCCCGAGGAAGCTAGCTGAGCTGCAACGTGCAGCTGAAGGAAGCCCAGGCTTGCTGGTCTAGAGCTCCACGGCTATGAGTCGTTTGTGGTGTTTATCGCGAAGTGGGTGACAAAAGGCCAAACGTGATTGTCGGTTGCTCTCTTTTCTATGTCCCCGTTCCCACTCCCACCCTCTCCCCCATGCAGGGTTTTCCTACAGTCTCCCTCCACAAAGGAAGCTTGTCCCCCCATTCTCCCTTTCTCCTGCATGTATCCAGACCGCCCAGGAACGAATTGGACGCTCCATCTCCATGTTCAACAAGACTCCTTGAAGCACTCCTCGTTTCACCATCTCCCAATTCGACCAAACTTCACAATCGCTTAACCAAACAGTACTCGGTCAAGAAGAGTACAGAGACATATCATATCATATATCATGATGAAGAAGAACTTCACTCGTCTCGTCGCCGGCGCGGTGTTGCTGGCGAGCGGCGTGGCGGCGGCGGAAAACTGCGCGAGCGTCGCCGTCACAGCTATTCCTTCCTGCGCGCAAAGCTGTTTCCTCGACGGCGCGTCCTTTGTAGGATGCGATAGCCTCGACTTTTCATGTCAGTGTGGACAAGAGGCGGCTCTCTACGCCGCCATTGAGCCCTGTGTTGCAACGGGCTGCCCGGCCGCGTCGTTCCAGGCTGTCATCAACGGAGCTTCATCTGGTAAGCCTCTCCGCGAGGGCGTTTAATGCTTAGCGTCTGTTTTCATGGACGATGCTCACGACGCGTCAATCAATCTTTGCTGGACACTAGCTAACAGGATCAAGTCTGCGGTTGTGTCGGCGCAGGGGCTGTTGGTGGCTCAACGGTGTCCGGGTCATTCGTCTCAGCCATCTCGGGCTCTTCGTTCGCTTCATCGCCTGCGACCGCAACAGCAACGGCATCTGGAGGCGCCGGCGGCGGAGGTTCTGCGTCTGCCTCGGCAACGCAAGGCGGTGGCGGCGGAGACACATGGAATCCCCTCCCCACCAGCCCCCCGTTCTCGACGTCGTCGCCCGTCAATGCTGCAGGTCGCCAATCTGACTCAAGTCTCGCTATGCTCGTCGCCTTTGTCGGAGTGGCAGTAGCCGCTGTGGTCGCGCAATGAGTCGAATTTAGCTTGGATGGACTATCAATCTAGAAAGGATTGATGACTTCGCTAAGAATGTTTTTGCCTGGCGGAGAAAATCAGGGCAGTCGGCTACTTGCATCATTACTTCTTCTTCACAACACCACTTTTACATCATGACTTATGGACGGATATACCCAGAGGCCGGCGACCTACATACTCAGCCCGACTCTTCTTCTACCGACGACCTCATACGACACAGTCAATTCAAGGCCACATGCAACTTTCTCGCAGGGAAGTCAATGGCCAGGGCGAGGCGCTCCCATCTTACGACTACACATGATCACTCAGGGCTATGAGCCATACATGGTCGTCTGTATTTTGTATTTTGGACCGGGACGCCGGTTTGGAGGACGACATTGTCGAAGATGGGGTTAGTTGTTTAATCCTAATTATAGAACATTTACGCATTGAGCTCAACTTCAGGCACTTTGATTGCTTGATTGATGCCTTTGCTTGAGCAGGTCAAATTTGATCACGGCGATGAACAATGATAAAATGACACTCCTTTGATCGTATCTCACGCTTGCATGAGCACAGAGTTCGTCCCTGGTCCCTCATCAGTTGATTTGACTATCTTTGGCCTGAGCCGTCCCAGGACCAACTTGGTTCGACTTTGGACCTCATCCATTCTCCATGTGGGTTCGAATGCATTTACCTCAGATGCATAAAGACCCCGTAGCCATATAAAGACCTTCTCAGGGGTAACTGCACTCTGCGAACCTGGGGTCATTGAGTCATTGGTCAGGTGACTCATTGTGCAATATCAATTGTAAAGTGACTTCCTGCAAGCTTACGTTGTCGAAAATATGAAGTGGTACGTATTCCTCAAGCTAGGCAAGTCAAGGCCGTTGTTATCTTATGTCGATGCTGTAGAGAAGGGCATTCAAGAAATTGTTTACATGTACTCAATGAAGCCACGAAAATACTCAAGGAATACCTATATATACCTTACGTCAAGGTAAGAACCCAAGTTCGCATATTTCTATGTTATTATGACCAAGTAATCTAACCTCATGTGGGCAACTCAAACAAGCATGGCCACTTACCGGCCCGCAAGAGGGGTTGTATTGCTGCGGGTGCTCCCCAACGGGCCGCGGAGACTGATGTTGCGACGTCTCTGTCGAAGATCTCCCGACACTCCGTTGCTTTGAGTCTGGTCACTTAGGAAGTGGTTAGCTCTTGAGAGATTTCATCTGCTCGTCGACGTCAACGTCAACGTATCTATCTTTGCTTATCTTCAAGTGTTGACGGCCCATGGAAAATTGAACTCAGTGGAATGATCTCCTGCTGTTAATCAGCAATCCTTGAGTGACCTACTCCTTTTTGTGTCATAGTTGTAGGTCTGTAAATATCAATTAGCTCTGATTCTAACTCCAGTGACATATTATCGATTCGTCTTTGTAAACCATGTCCGCAACGGAGACCGAAAAATAGTCAGCAGAATGACCAACACCTGGTCTTTCAAATGGTCAGGTCAATCATGGCCTTGAAAGCGCAAGAATTCGAGACTGATATGTTGACTAATCGCAAATTCAGTGGCGATTTTGTGAGCACTCTCATGTTAAGCTCAGCTGTCCGAAACTCCGACTCAATCCAAGCCCGGCAGTCAAAACCCATGCTGTGGGACCGAGAGTTTGATTTCCTGAGAGCATTGATCAGGATGATCTCAAGGGAATTAATCAAGTGAGGATCCTATCAAGAGCAGTCAAGAGAAGGGCCCGAAGTCACCAGCTAGGAAAGAAACGAGTTACTCATCTAGGTTAATATAAACATTAGTACCATTTATACTTCTCACTATGACTGCGCTTTCCCCACGGGGTAAGACGCAAGATAGCAAGCTCTATCTTCAACCTTACGCGAGTGCCGGATGGCCGAATGTCAAGTAAAGATGCGGGGGGCGCGGGGGCGGGAGTAGCCTAGTACTTGCACGGGAGAGCACTCATACGGCCCGGAGCCGATCGGGGAGATTATAAGTCCAACGGAGGCCCCGCACATGCGCCGACCGACATGGCACTTTCGCATTCGGAAAGCTGCGTCCACGTTGTCTCACCGGGGGTGTCATTTTCCGGGCCCCGTCTCGTCCTAAAGATCGTCGTCTGATCTCATGATCGCGTCTAAAGCGAGACCAACAGCCGAGGCAAGTTGAAAGCTAGGTCAATGCGTGGGGGTAATGGAGTCGTTTTTGAGACACTAGTATTCTCTCCGCACCCGCGGACGCCCGTAGCGAAGAGGTGAAGTCACCTTTAGAGTAACAATGACAACTAGACGGTCTAAACCCACATATTTTGACAACTCAGTTGTGTTAGGTGGGTTCATGCAGTGCTTTCCTTGGCTGGACCTATTCCCCTCACCATCGACTACCTACTTGCAGGTATGAATCATGGTCTTTTGACATAGTATGCACCACACACGGGTCTCCCATAGAGAAACGGAGGCCGAACGAACACGCCGATACCCCGAGCTCCCTCTTTTCCCCCGTTCGTGTGACGGGTTGCTTGGTAAAACAAGTCGAGAAACACATTGGACGCAGGTTTCTAGGTTTCATCCCATCTCGCAAGCCTCGGCAACTCTGCGTTTCTGTGACACTGGATTAGGAAACCTAAGCGCAGGACCCTCGCCACGGTCGGACATTGGTTGGTTTAGATGTTACGAGGTGGGTATGCTTTTCATGTAGTAGATAGTCCTTCACATGAATCATACAAAAGGTGGATGAACCCCATGTGCAATTGCTCATAGAAGTCTTCTTGCTCGTCACACCGTATACGTATGTGTACTAACTAACAAAACCATCAAAATGGCGTCAACTCATCCCGCAGACCTCAAGGTAGACGAGATCTACGACTACATCATCATCGGCGCCGGTATCTCTGGCATCAACACCGCATACTACCTCCAATCTCACGGCCCCAAGAACGCAAGCTACGCCATCCTCGAAGGCCGTCCACGGATGGGCGGGACGTGGGACTTATTCCAGTACCCCGGCATCCGTTCCGACTCGGACATCTACACCTTTGGCTTCTCATGGAACCCGTGGAAGGGCGAGAACCCCCTCGCAGGTGGCCCCGAAATCTGCGCCTACCTCGAAGAATCGGCCTCCGAGCACGGCATCGACAGACACATAAAGTACAACCACCAAGTCGCCTCCGCGGACTGGAACTCGCCAACCTGCAGATGGATCCTCAAGGCCTCAGTCACAGGAGGTAACGAAGGCACAAACGAGAAGCAACAGACAAAGACCATCGCCGCGCGGTTCGTCGTCCTCGGCACAGGATACTACGACTACGAACAGCCCCTCGCCGCCGCGATCCCCGGCATCGACACCTTCCAAGGCCACCTCGTCCACCCGCAATTCTGGCCCAAGGACCTAGACTACACCAACAAAAACGTCGTCATCATCGGCAGCGGCGCCACGGCCGTCACCCTCCTCCCCAACATCGCCACCGACGCCGCGCGCGTGACGATGCTCCAGCGAAGCCCGACCTACATCATCGGCATGCCCTCCCGCAAAGCCGGCCTGCAGCGCTTCATGCTCTCCATCCTGCCGAAGTCCGTCTCGAGCCGGATTCTGCGGGTGCAGTATTTCCTGTTGTCGTATATCTTGTACTACTACTGTCAGTGGTTCCCCGGCTCCGCACGCCGGTTCCTGTTGGGCGCGGCGAAGAAGCAGTTGCCGCCGAATATCCCGCTCGATCCGCACTTTAAGCCGCGGTATAACCCCTGGGAACAACGTCTTTGCGTGTGTCCGAACTCGGATTTCTATCAGGCGCTGCGGTCTGGGAAGGCGGATGTGGTGACGGATACTATTGAGGAGGTGACAGGCTCCGGCATCGTGTTGAAGTCTGGAAGAGTCCTCCACCCAGACATCATCGTCACGGCAACAGGTCTAAAGATCCGCTTCGCCGGCTCGATCGCCCTCTCCGTAGACGGCCGGCGCGTGGACCCCAACACCAAATTCGCCTTCAAGGGCTGCATGCTGCAGGATATGCCGAACATGGCCTACGTGTTCGGGTACGCCAACGCGTCGTGGACGCTCGGCGCGGAGGCGACGAGCTCGTTTTTGGTGAGGTTGTGGCGTGGGATGGAGAAGAAGAGGTTGAGAGCGGTGACGCCGCTGCTCGAGGATCCGAATATGAAGCCCAACGCGATGATGCCGCTCAAGTCGACCTATGTGCGGAATGCCGCAAAGGTGTTTCCCAAGGCTGGGTCGGGGCGGTGGGCGCCGAGGAAGAATTATTTGATGGATCTGTGGACGGCTATGACGAGTGATGTGTTTGCTGGGATGAAGGTGCAGTGATTGTGTACGCATCTTGTTGAATGACTGAGATGAATGAGATATTGGGACTGTTTGGAAGGGCGATTCGTGGATTGCCAGTGTATGTGCCTCATCATATTAGCGTTGTCCAAGGGACCGGAATCGACAGAGTGTCTACTGAAGGACTGCTGGTCTATAAATGTTCTACTGACGTCTTGCGTCTTTTCATCTGAGAGGTAAGCATCTCTCGCTTGATTCAGACAAATGACCTCTACCAATGCTGTCTCTAGCCCGCCTAAACTTTACTCCGGCTGCCCATCCGCCCAAACGACAATATTCTTCGGCGGATCCTCCAGCCCATTGAAGAACGCAACAACATCCTTGTTGCTATACCGCATACTAAAATGCGTCAAAATAAACGTCGTCTTGGGCCACTTGCGCACCACTTTGTCGAGATCCTTCCACTTGGTATGCTTCGTCTTCTCCGCCTGCGCATCATGCTCATCATACAAGAAACTGCACTCGGTAATCACCACCGGGATCCCCTGCGACAACCACTCCGGCTCAGCAGCCAGCGTCGACGCCGTCGTATCACCAAGGAACGCAAACACGGGCGTCGTCACGGGCGCCGTCAACTCCACGCCCGACTGCCGCAGGCTCTTGAGCTCCGGGCCGGGAAGCGAGGTATACTCGGCCTTGAGCTTATGCGTCGTTGTCCGGAAGACGTAGCCTACGGCGGGACGTTGTGGTCGCACTGAAACACGAGGGCGTCCATGCCCTTGAGGCGTCGCAGCGGCACCACGTCGCCGTGTCTGACGGCCGTCGTGACGTGCGTGCCCAGGAACGCCCTCTCCCCTTCCGTCCTGCCATCCTCGTCGGTGCCTTTACCGTCGACCTTGAGACCCACGGCCTCGGCGTCGCTGCTGGTTGTGAGACCGCCGCGGTTGAGGAGGGTCTTTGCGAGGCAAAAGTCGTCAAAGGCCTTCTTCATCTCGACGGGGCAGAAGATGTCTGGTGGGTCTTCGCGCTTGGTGAAGGCCGGGGCGAGGAGGCAGTGGTCTGAGTGGCCGTGGGTGATGAAGATGTGTTTTGGGCGCAGGTTGTTCACGACCAGGCCTGCGTCGAGGAGGAGGTTGAGTTGGGGGATGACGAAGGAGGTGTGCCATGCTGCACGAGACTTGCCGGTCAGGACGTATTGGTGGTAGGGTTTTGGGAAGCGCCATTCGAGGATCTCGGACCGGCTTGATTGCGGCAGAGGGGTTGCGAATGTGGCCATTGTGATGTTGGCTGGGAGTGGTGTCTTGGCTGAGTGGGTGGGTAGGGGGGCGGGAGTTGAGGAATACGGCGTCGGGACCGGGGCCGGGGAAATCTGGGCCTGGGGTAGATCCGGGGTAGCTGGAGCTGCTGAGTTTCTTGATAGTAGAATGCTTTTGATGCTCCGGAAACTGAAATATCCTATCTGGAGTCTGTGTTGCAAGCTCTTGGTCATGCAACCAAGACGCAGGGTTTGTCCCGAAAAGAGCCTTTTCAACTGCTCTTGCGATTCAATATGGTATCTCTGAGGTTCCCTCAATACCGATGACTCTTTTACTTGAGGATGGCTCTACGCTGTGGCTCAATTAGTTGTTTGCCACAGTCTCGAGGCCGATCGATGACAGACAATGAGACGTGCCTTATGCCAAATTGGCTGATGATGAATGTATTAGAGGCTCAAATCTGCCCAAGCAATAGGTCAGACGGTGTGGCTAATGATGTCCCGGTCAACCTTCACCAGACGGAAGTCACAGTTGAGGCATCGAGTGAGCGCGACGATGGCAGAAATTTTGCTGACGTCATCACGAACACCTCTTAACTCCGATGCATCGGACATTGTGCCACCTGCCTCCATCGTCGTCTACATTCAGGGCTTTGATGCACCTAACGCAACTGATTATGTCCGTCGCTAATTCTACCGAGTAATTGAAGCAATCACCCACTGGCATCAACACAGACTTCAAGAACACGCTGCAATGTGCCTGGATTGCTGCGCCCATCACGCGGCTGCACGGCACATGGCATCCTGCCGCAGGGCCCTCATTAATGTAGGTAGGTTCCTTAATGTTGAGCGATGACACTCTCGCTGCACGATATGTAGGGCAGGTTACTCCATCAAGAACAACTTCAAAAGAGCTAGATATCCTGCCGTAGGGATCGGGACATCTTCCAAGACTTTAACGTCCAGCTGTCCTTTCGCACTTTCGGACCTTCGCAGCTTCGCACATTTGGGCAAGAAATGGGTTAGTCCTATCTGTGACATGAAAGAGTTCAAAGGTTGGTTGAGGTGCCTTTAGGTAAAGCATTCGACGATGACAACTCACAGCTTCATCCTGAGTGGTCAGAATCCCCAGCTAAACTCAATTAGGCGATTTTACCCGGCATTTCCTGAGTGGTCAGAGCAGTCACCGCTCGCCCGAACCTGGCAGCGCCTGCGGTTCCGAGCAGGGCCCCACCAAAACAGCCGTGCAAACCGATACCTCCGGTCCCGGAGAGTGGGTCGCTGAGGGTCCACCTCTGATAAGGACACCCGGAGGTTAGAGGGCCAGAGCTTATCGTCTAAGGTTTCCCCATCCAGTCCCTCGTCTCGCCCTTCCCCCCACTTTCTGGTCGTTTCTCCCCTCCATGTCTCTTCTGCATCACTTCCGATGGGAGTCTCCAAGCAAGACCAACGATTCTTCCATGTCCCCCGCGCTTGAGCTAACCTGGAGTTTCTTGGAGTTCTCTCGATTCCCTGGAGACGAACCGTCGGAAATTCGCAGCTAATGCACAGTCTGTGTGCGACCGTCCTTATCGGGTTGACCAGACGAAACGTTGACCACGCCTTACAACTTGCATCCTATCCTGTACCTCAATTCCGCGATACTAAGAAGCTAAAGCTAAAGCTCTTATCAAACCAATTCCGACTTCTCCACCGTGTCCAATGACTTGACTTATCGAATCGCAACGGCTTACAACGCCCTTTGCCAATTGGCATGACGCGCCACATAGCTTGTGCAAGGTACGGTGCACACTCGTTTGTCGTCTGAACGGCCCCCGAGAGATACCCCAGGTCGCCATGGGCTTGCATTGCCTGATCCGGCTGGTCTTGGAGGGATGAGTCGCGCATCGGATGAGAACGAGAGAGCGCGCCTATCTTGCGCGCTCCTGGTCGGAAGAAGAGGGGCGAGGGGCCTCACTCTGGGGATCCCCTTGATCGATTTGGAGATATAAGCTGTAGCTTTATCTAGAGCTCGACTTCCCTCAATCCCCAATCGCAATTCTCTCGATACCCTCCACACTCGCCATTGACTTCTCGAAACACCTTTCTCTCTCTCGGTGACAAGGAAACCTGTATAACCATACACGCAGAGAATCTTCACACCACCACAGAGACACAAACACAATGGCGCCACCGCACCCTCTAGATCCCCTCTCGTCCGCAGAGATTGAAAAGGCCATCGCCGCCGTCACAAAGGCCCACGGCGATGTCTTCTTCAACGTCGTCTCCCTCCACGAACCCCGCAAGGCCGAACTGACAAAATGGCTCGCCTCGCCCTCGACAACACCCCTCCCCGCCCGCATCGCCGACGTTGTCGTCATCGCAAAGGGCGGCAAGGTCTACGACGGCCTCGTTGACCTCGCCTCCGGCGCCATCACCAAGTGGGAGCTCATGCAAGGCGTGCAGCCCATCGTCAGTTCCCCCTCCACCACAATTGTTTCCCTCGCGAGTCCAAGACTAACACCACAACCACAGATCACAATGGAAGAGCTCCAAATCGTCGAACACATCTGCCGCACCGACCCCAAGGTCATCGAGCAGTGCGAAATCTCCGGCATCCCCAAATCAGACATGCACAAGGTCTACTGCGACCCCTGGACAATCGGCTACGACGAGCGCCACGGCAACACCATCCGCCTCCAGCAGGCCCTCATGTACTACCGCCCGGACCCGGACACCTGCCAGTACCAGTACCCCCTCGACTTCTGCCCCATCTACGACGCCGACAAGCAGGCCATCATCGCCATCGACATCCCCACCGTCCGCCGGCCCCTCAGCAAGGCCGCCCCCGTCGACTACACGCCCGCCGCTGTGAAGAAGCAGTCCGGCGGCTACCGCACCGACCTCAAGCCCATCAACATCACCCAGCCCCAGGGCGTCTCCTTCCAGATGCAGGGCCGCCAGATCGCCTGGCAGAACTGGAACTTCCACATCGGCTTCAACTACCGCGAGGGCATCGTCCTCAGCAACATCACCTACAACGACAAGGGCAATGTCCGCCCCATCTTTTACCGTTTATCTCTTGCGGAGATGGTCGTCCCCTACGGAAACCCGGAGCACCCTCACCAGCGCAAGCACGCCTTCGACCTCGGCGAGTACGGCGCCGGATACATGACGAACAGCCTCTCGCTCGGCTGCGACTGCAAGGGCGAGATCCACTACCTCGACGCCGAGTTCCCCACCCGCAACGGCGGCGTGCGCACCATCAAGAACGCCATCTGCATCCACGAGGAGGACAGCGGCATCCTCTTCAAGCACACCGACTTCCGCGACGACTCCGTCATCGTCACCCGCGGCCGCAAGCTCATCATCCAGCAAATCTTCACCGCCGCAAACTACGAATACGCAATCCAATGGATCTTCCACGTAGGTTTCCCTTATTGAAATTTCAGAGACAAGAGACTAACACCCCACCAGCAAGACGGCACAATCCAGCCCGAAATCAAACTCACCGGCATCCTAAACACCTACTCTCTCAACCCAGGCGAAGACACAAAAGGCTGGGGCACCCAAGTCTACCCGGGCGTCAACGCCCACAACCACCAGCACCTCTTCTGCCTGCGCGTCGACGCCAACATCGACGGCCCCCGCAACACCGTCTTCGTCGCCGACGCCGTCGCCTCCGACGCGCCCGTCGGATCCCCCGAGAACTTTTACGGAAACGCCTTTTACGCCAAGAAGACCAAGCTCGACACCACGGGCAAGTCAAAGACTGATTATGACGGGTCGACGAGCCGCACCTGGGAGATTGCGAATACGGATAAGCTGCATCCGTACAGCGGGAAGCCGGCGAGTTATAAGCTTGTGAGCAGAGAGGTTCCTGGGTTGCTGCCCAAGGAGGGGTCGTTGGTGTGGAAGCGCGCTGGTTTCGCGAGACACGCTGTGCACGTCACAAAGTGTAAGTCTCCCTTCTCCCTCCCCCTCTCTCCTTCTCATTACTCCACCACCTCTTCGGTTGGAATAAAAACTGACCAAACCCAACAGACCGCGACGACGAACTCTGGCCCGCGGGCCGCCACGTCCCCCAAACCTCAGGCGAGCCCTCCTCCGGCATCCCCGAATGGATCGGCGACGGCACAGAGTCCATCGAGCAAGAGGACATTGTCCTCTGGCACACGTTCGGCGTCACCCATATCCCCGCGCCCGAGGACTTCCCCATCATGCCCGTGGAACCCATCACCCTTCTCCTGCGGCCGCGCAACTTCTTCGCGAACAACCCCGTCATGGACGTCCCGCCCAGCTACTGCAGTACCCCGAGCCAGGTCGCGGCCGGCAAGGGCGCGCTGGAGGCGGCGGATGGGGTGAGCAAGCTTGCTTTTACGGGCGGTGCGGCTGCTGGGGAGTCGTGCTGTGCGCCGGGGAAGAGTAAGTTGTGAGGTGGTTGGTTTCTGTACGCAGAAATTCTGAATGAAGCGTTTTAGATAAAATATTTAGGCATGCACATAGTATTGAATAGCAAATTTTCGTTTGACAGCGCATGGCTGCTTCTCTTGTGTACTGTATGATAGAATCCTATGCTCTGCAGACCCATAGCGCTTTCCCAGGGCTTCACTTCAATCGAGAAGAACAAGCGTTCCGCCCATCTCCCAACCCGCAGAGGATCGTCAAGTGCGATAGCGCAGGGAGACTGACCCGATAATGAATGACAGTCGATACTAGCCACCAAGACACGCGTCCACTAGACAGCAAAGGCAGAGTATCGTGGTTGGTCTTTTTGGACTTCGTTAGCACGAACACTCTGACACTCGGGTGCGGCACACGTACAATTGAGAGGTGGAACTTGTGGCAACCCCATCCATGCCGGCCAACCAAGTCGATAGTAGAAAAACTTCTAGACTTCGCCTTGGAAATGGGAGTCGGTGCTATCTGTCCTAAATGGAGTCTGGCTCAATCTTCGCATCGGGAACTTTGCCACCGGTCTCTTTGGCATTGGGAGGAGTTTCCTCGGGAGCGGCTTCCTCGGGAGTGGCTTCTGCACCCTTGTTGGCGAACTGCAGACGAGCCATGAGGCCTCTGAGAAGCGAAGTCGTCTCGAGATCATAAGCAGGCGCTCTGGAGAGAGATAAGACATATTTGGGCGCGGTTCGGGGAGGTCCATGGGCGGCGTCCATGGCAGCGATGGATCTCATGAGGAACAGCTGCAGCTTACCCTCATCGGCAAGGAGCTCCATCATGATTTCTATGTCGACCCTGTTATTCCAATCGCATTAGCCTCGCGTTCAAACTCGGTTGTTAATGGGAGAAAGGAGTGATACGAACACTCCCTCCTTTACCGCGCGGTCGATAACGGTTTGGTAGCAACGCGCATTCTCCAGGCTCATCTCCAACAAGGTGATCAGAGGCCCAACGGCAGGGTGGAGGATCGATATGGTGGATGTGGCTAGGTTGGCATGCCTGAGCGCTTCTTCCGCGTGCTCAACATAGCCCTCGGGGAGATCAGCAAGCAAAGAATGGAGAACGGATTGTTCTCTGGAAAGAAGCCCTGATTCCAGAAGAAGCGCGGCCGCAGCCTCCTCGACGACGGAGCGTGGAGCTTCAGAATTAGACAGCTCCAAAACTGAGTAGAACCGCGATTTGAGTTCTTCTGCGAGGTGTTACCATGTGGAAGGTACGGGGCGAGGCAATTAGGCTGACATACCTCTGCGGAAATTGGGTGGCTCTGTTCTGTTGGGAGTAGCCATGGCTGCAGATCATGTGTTGTGATGATCAAGTTTGATGTGAGAGAGAAGAGTGTCGAGCTTCGGTTGCTGGATTGATGGATGCTGTTGGAAGGGTGATGTATGTGGAAGAAAGCAAAGACGAAGGAAACCAGAAGGAAGTACCCTGACGAAAGAGGCAGTCTGTATTGCCTCAATGAAAGGACCCAGGGTAAGCAGTCGAGCCTGCCGACTGTTGACTTCAGGGTCGCGTTGGAAACCGGCACTTCAAGATATCTTTGATACACCATCAAATGGGAACAGAAACAGTCAGATTCGTATGAAAAAATACACGTCATGTCATGTAATGGTATTATCAATTCGACAATGATTTTGTCGCATTGTATGGCTAAATCCCTCAAGCAAATATTTCTCCCTTGCTGGAGCCATTTAGGGCTTCCACCTGAACGCAGGGTGCTTCCAATCCAAATCACTCTCTTCTTGTCTCGACAAGCCCTGCAACTCGGCCTCGACGTTTCGGGCCTCGCGTTTACGGTTGTCTCGCTTCATCCAGAACAACGTGAGAGTCGAAGTGATCAAAATCATACTGCAGGTCGCCAGGTTCAATCCGTTGCCGATTGGGTAGTTGGGTGCGTCCCATGGCAAGAAAGCCCACTAATGCCACGAGTTAGTATACAATCAAAGGCAATAATGGGGAAGGGGTTAATCTTACAGTTGAAATGAGGCCTCCCACGTTGCCAAACATGACGTTTGTTCCAATCGCTGCGCTGCGCGCCGTGTCGGACACAACGTTCGCGGCGACCTGGGCGTTCGTGAGGGCGCCGAGGGCGAAGACGGCTGATGTGATGAGGAAGGTGGCACCGTAGCGCACCGAGAGGTCCTTTGAAGCCAGGAACATGATATAGCCGATCATTGCTAGCGGTGCGGACATCATGAAGAAGATCTGTCGACGGTCGAGGCGCCAGCTGAGCAGTGGCAGTAGGACGGTGAAGAAGGCTCCGACAACATAGGGAGGGACGGTGAAGAGTTGTTGGCGCTGGACAGTCGCCGTGGGGTAGATACCCCTGACGATCGTCGGCAGGAAGAAAGCGAGACCTTGGACAGTGACGTTGTTCAGAAGGAAGACAAACGATGTTGCCAACGTAACAGGTGCGAAAATTCCCCGACGGAGTTTCTTGGTGTCCATCTTGTCGAGAACTTGAGTCTGACCAACACGCTCGGAGCGAACACGGGTCTCAGCGAGATCCTTTTCAGCCTCAGTGAGCCAGCGAGCGGAGGCGGGGCGGTCGGTAAGGGTAATGAAGCCGATGAGTGCCAGCCCAATTGTGATGATTCCTTCGATGGCAAAGATCATGCGCCATGTATGGATGCTTCCGAATCCATCGAGGCGAAGAATTGCAGAAGCCAAGAGACCGCCGAAAGCTCCAGCCAAAGGCGCCATAACAATGTACAAGCTGAGGCGGAAGGCGAGTTCGGATCGTCGGTACCAACGGGACAGGTAGTAGGCGATACCTGGCAACATGCCAGCCTCAAAGATGCCGAGGAGAAATCGGACTGCCATGAGCTGGGGTACGGTGTGAACGAAAGCGGTGCCGACTGAGCAGATGCCGAAGAGCAAGGTGGTAAGGGGGAGGAACCATCCAGGCCCCATGACCTTGCAGAGGATGTTGGCGGGGATTTCGAAGAGAATGTAGCTGATGTAGAAGACACTGAGGGTTCCATTGTAGTCGTAGCCTGCCATGCCGAGGTCCTTCTCGAGACCTGCAATGCGAGCGTTGCCTGGGGGAGTTGTAAGTGGCTGTCAACACTGTAACGAGCCGAAGGAAACAAACCAATGTTGGCTCTGTCAATGAAGCAGAAGAGGTAAAGCAGAGCGACCGTTGGCACAATCATGAGATCGATCTTTAGCCTAAGCTTTCTCTCTACGGTCGGGTCGTACGCAAGAGACTGCTCGGTGTGCCTGACGATAAGGGGTCAACCAGGTTTCTGGGTAACAGTGCGCTGTGTGTGTCTTACTTTTCCGGGTCAAGCTTCGCGTCGTACGAGGACCTTTGCGCCATCTTGGCGTTGATGTCGTCGATGTTCTCGACGGTGGGCTTATCGTTACTCATGATGAAAGGAGAACGCGGTGAGTCGCTCAGCCGGATGCCTTTGTGAGCGAAATGTCGACTTCGGCGTTGTGTCGAAGAGGTATCCTGGGGTAGGAAAACTCGCGAATCTGGCAGGGGATGAAGGACCCTTTTCAATGTCGAGACGACTGACTCAACAAAACACTGTCTCAAGGGGGCCAGCTGGAAATCCCGTAGGCTGGTCCAGGCTGGCGAGATAGATATCTCATTAGCGACCCTTGTCTTTCCCCCTTGTCCCAGATTGGGGGTGGAGGCGTGGCACCTAGCTACCCCAGACGGGTTATCCCACACACCAAACAACGCGGGGTAGACATCCACCAGAGCGGACGCCTCTTTTCACATCCAATCTGCATCGGGTGCGAGCTCGGGAAACGGCACCAAGGCAGCACCAAGCAACACTTGCAGGACCGCGGCCCATGTTATCGGATCCATTCCACTCCCACATCGGGGGACATGCCAGCCAGTGAGGAAGATGCTCACTCTGATGACGTGTTGAGATGGTAATTTGGGTCTGCTACGACCGTTGCAACGATGCCAGTCTCAGGGATGGCGAACAAGCAACAATGGTGCAAGATTGACGATGTGATGAGATGGATGTATGTTTACGCGCTGCAGCAGCAGCTGCTTCGAGGTAACTGCAGCAGCGGACACGAATATTTGACCGAGTCTTCTCTTGCAGCCGTGCCGATAAGCAGATGCCAGAACTGCAGCTTCCCGAATAGAGCATCACATTGCGCCAGCTTCTGTGCCTCTCCCTCTCCAGACTCGTCGACAACGGCTTTGGTCGCAAGCAGCCCTTGTCCAGCCTTCCATGTCGACTAGGCTCAACTCGGCGTAACTGGGGAGGAATGCAGATCACGCTCCATTCCCGACACGTTTCGGGAGTCAATATCGGCACTCCTAGTCGGCAACCAGAGCATGAGCTTAGATTACAGGCGGCGGACTTTAGATTCGGGCTTGCATCTGTACGGGAGAGAAAACCACACCGGGCACAAGTTGCAGCTGCCATTCGTGCGTGCGTGCGTGGGGCGGATGCGAACTAGGTAGCTGGACCTTGTCAAGCACGGGGTTTGAGCGCCGCATCATATATCAGATGCAAGACCTCCGGAGAGCCGATTGGAAGAGGTCGCGAATGGTTGAGTTGGTTTTCCCATGAACGCGCGCGGCTTCATCCGCTATTGCGACGTGCCAACCTTGGAGTCGTGGTGATGGAACTCAAATTGGGGTCCGGCGGAGTCTAGTCATTGTCTAGTCGTCCGTGGTTGTGAATAGGCTGGGACACCACGTTGCTGTCCCCCTGCCCCTCTTGCTTTCGACAGGTCGACCCCCAACTTGCATTTCTCCAACTTTGCTTTTGGTGTTCGGATGCTGTGACCAGCTGATCTTTGGCTTGTTGAGGCGCTTTGCTGACTTCTGCTTGCAGTGAAGACCGCTCTGAAATCCGGGAAATCCGCTTCTCGGAAAGTCCGCCAGAACATGTTCATTCCTGAATCCGCAACAGGTCAATGAACTGTTGAGTATTTCGCTAGCTCGGAACGACCGGTGGTATAAGAAGGCGCCAAATTCCTCATTGCGACGGCGTACTTTTCTCCATCGGATCTGGAATCATCGACTATCGGAAAGGGGGTTTCGGAAGTCCTCTCTTTGCGACTTGGCCTGGCGGGGTTGGTGCTCTGCGCCGTACGGAAAGCGTTCACGGCTTGTGTCAACGGGTTCCGAGCTTACAAGGCCGACCATGGGCGTCTTCTCTTGGCAAATGAAATGCCTCATCTTGTTTCGCGGGGGTGGTCATTTTTTGGCGCCATCCGAGCGAAAGTCTGTTGTTGTCCATGGCAGCTTCGGCGAACTCTTGCCCAAATGGTCATTGATCCAGCAAAACAATGTCGTTATCCACGACTGATGATTGCCCACGATCGAGAACCCGTCCTGCTATGATAATTGATGGGGGGAGCTGATCCGGGGAAGGGTAGGGACACATCCGAAGCCCAGAACCTGGAGAAGCGGGAAAAGCTAAGCTTAACGTCGATAGCGTCGAATCCCGCCAGACTGGGCCGTGGCTGTACTCCGTACATGGTCCCACGCGAGATGGCGTAGATTGATCGCTTGGAAACACACACATTGAACCCATCGACTAAGGCCGCTCGTGTGTTCCTTGAGGCCTCAAACTGCATCGAGTTCCGGAGATGTGGTCGCCCAAACGGTCGTGCGAGGGCTGCGTGCGAATATCTACCACATACATGGTTTCTCTGCCCAGCGTGCTATGTTTGACTCGAGATAATTGGTGCTGGGTAGGTGCCCTGACTGTTGGGGGGAACGGTTTGATTGAAGTTCCTTTGGAAGTTTTGGTTTGAGAAAGCAACAGCCAGGTAATGGCCCCTTCCGGCGGCAGTCCGGTCTAGAATCCGCGGTCGATCTGGGGAGTCCCCAGAAGTTGTTACACAGTACATACAGTGATGGAAACGAACGACAGCAATGGAGTCGTGGATTCGTGGTTAATGGGTTGAGAACTTTGAGAGGGGGAGCATCGCCTGAGCTGCCTCGTTGTGGACCAATAGAATTCGGCCTTGAGTACGTACCTGACACACGGTCTGGTTGGACAAAGACGACCCACCTCGCTGGGACTTGCACGTGCGTTTTCTTATCTTATCCATTATGACATAAGCAGATACGTATCGTAAGAGATAACGCACCTCAGAGTCGAGGAAATGGAAGGAGCAGACAGTACGTATCCGTACAATGGTTGGACCCGATGGACGACTCGACGAGACCTGACACGGCATTCTTTTTCCAAACTCCAACGCACATTTACAAAGCTGCCTCGCCTTGTCTGATTCTCGTATGCCATCGAGTCAGCCTCACCTACGCCGTTGTGTGAATTTCCAACAATATTCGCTCCGTGTCCAACAGGTAGAGGGCAATGACACGCAAAAGTGTAATTCGACAAGCAACAGCCTGCGCACAAAGAGAACAATGCCAAAATCACAAGCGCAAACTACAAATGCTCCCCCGGAATGGGGGCACCCCGGCTCCTAACGTCTCCTCGACGGCCAATAGGGCCGCCATCGGGCACCCAAGTCACTTTGATAGTGGAGAATTCCAATTCTCCCAAGGCTCCAGAGTCCAAGGGCCCCTCTCACACATCGACCACGGCTCACGATTCGCGACTGTGATAGCCCACACCGGGACGCCTTATCACTGCCGCAGTGCCCCAGACCCGGCGGCGGCTGGTTGGGCAATGGGCACAGCGTCTACGGATAAAGTGCAGACCAATATTTGGTACCCGACGTCATCGAGCAGGGTGGCGGTCAACTCGAACCCCCACAGAGACAAAGCTGAGCAGGGCAGGTCGGCGCAACGAGTCGCAGCACATGCCACAAGCACAGTGACGCCAGAGAAGCCCGTCCAGTTTCCAACTGTGTTCTGCGGAAGAGGAAGCGCAAGGCAAGGCCCGAGGCGGGAGCGAACGCAATGCCAAAGGGCAGACGAGACGAAAGGACGAGACACTTGACAACGAAGAAAGAGTTTGGAAAGTTCCAACGTCGGCCCATCCCACTGTTACAACTTGCGCCGCCCGGACGGCAATTAACCTCTTTTTCCACCCACCCATCCGACTGTTCTGGCATCCCCCATCCTCTCCATTTCCCGTCGATCCGTTCAAGCCCAACGACGGGACCGCGGTCCATGGATGATGGGACATCCATAGCGGGCTCCATGGCTCCGTACGGGGATCCCGCTGTGCGCAGCCTGGCAGATCTGGCCCGGAATGGAGTCCTGGACTCACTCTTGGCTGCGCTTTTCCAAACAGGCGCCCCGTCGATGGCTGCCCAAGCGGCGACGTCAGGTTCGAGAGGGCACAAAAGCGGACTGGGCCATTGAGGCTAAAGGCCGCGTTGGACCGGGTCTGGAATGGTCAGATGGGCAGAATCGCAGCGAAAAGCAACGACGCAGGCCTCGAGAAGGGCTTTTTACAAGGAGTAGCCTTGTTGCCACAGCCCTCTTGTCTCCCGCCAGGTTTGGACGACGGGTGCGATGACCGATACGGCGCTGATGGCCCTCGTTAAGGACCGACAATCACTGTCGCTCCTCGCGCAAAATGCCATGCTGCGGTCAGCAGCTTGTCCAACGATGAAACAGGCTTTGGATACCGAGTTCGAATGCACTTTTGCATCCCTATTGGTGTTTCTGGCATCATGCGGGAGAGCTGCGGGCCATCAGTCCGTTGCATAACTAACAGCGACCATCTTCTCCCTACCAGACCGTTGGACCATCCAGAGAAGGCCAGACAAGCTAGGATCATCGCTCAAGCAGCATCGCCAACACCACCATCTTCCTCGTTCAGTCTGACGAACCAAGCCAACCCTGTCCTGGCTTCCGTCCGTCGTTCCAAGAAGCCTGCTTTTCCACTCCACCACAAATCTCCGTGTCGTGTCCAAGACTTAAACTACAAAACCGCCTCGTTTCTTCCCAGCCACCACCTTTTCGCCTGTCCGTTCTCTTTTCGCAAGGACCCTTAAAAACGACACAACTCACGGCTTGGACCAGTGCGACTGCCCGCATCGCATTTCGCAGCTCCGGTGGTTCAGCAAGAACAGTTCAGTTTCAGGATCGTTGTTGGGGAGAGTCGAGTAGACAGACGGAGGACCATTATCGGGTCTACTGTCACAGGCCCATTTTCGTGAGGTCAGCTGGTAGAGTTCCAGGTTGCTTCCTGGCTTCACATTGCCTTCTCATAGGCCGATTACCACCCACGCCTACCACCACACACGACACACAAGAGAGTCTAGAACACCGAGTCCAGTCACTTGTCGAGTTCAGTCCGGCTTTCCATCGCATCACCCGTCTTCGCCCACTACCACAGGTACACCTCAGTCAGCCAAACCACGAAGAGGGGTTCATCGCTTGCCTCACTCACTCACCCATTCATTCACTCACTCATCAACGCCGCCGCAGACACTCCGCGCACCTTACACCATACATTGTCAGTGTTACAGTGTCACATACCAGTCTCATAAACCCTGGAAGAAGCCACTCGCACGCCACTCCAACGCAGGGCGGCGCCGCTACTCCATTATCCAATCCAAATTCCAAAATAGCCCACTGGACCCAAGGCGGGTCAACGGCCTTCACCGACACTACCGGCGCTATTGGCCTGGGTTCGCATACCTTGCGTTAGGGGGCCAGCCATCCCACCACTTCACTCACTCGCTCTCTACTGCGACACTGGATCACACACATTATTCCCGCTTTTCCCCTCTTTCTTCGCTCTCTTCTGGCCCTCTCTCCCTAGAGGTGTCGTCATCGCCCTGATTCTCGACTTTCGCAATACGAGCAACTTCTCTCGAGATTCACAACCACGAACTCCTGTCATCACCCGATCATTCCACAACTTCCCGGGAACAACCTATCACCTGTGACATCCCGGATCCCTAATTTCCACGACTACCGCTATTTTTCTGCAAGATTTTGTGATACCCGAGATCGACTTTTACTTTCATTTCCAACCACACATACGTTAACCATCAATCAAAATGGCCGGCCGTGCTGAGCGCTGGGACCGCGACCGCTTCATGCAAGAACGGGAGCGAGACCGCTATCCAGATGATCGTCGTTATCCCGACGAACGAAGCAGGTTCGAGGAAAGAAGCCGCTTCGAGGAACGTGACGACTATCGCCCACCGCCTCGCCGCGGCAGAGATCACTCCGATGAGCGCTTCGACCGTGGCCCATTTGACCGCGGACATCGCGGCGGATATGAAGAAGATATTGTAAGAGACCGCCGCTACGTCGAGGAGGACCGTTACGGCCCTCGTCGCGGAGAGCCTTTGGACCGGGAGTTTGATCGTCGTCTTTTCTTCGAAAGAGAGCAACGAGAAGTCCGTGAGGCCTCGCCACCACGCCGCCCGACTATGCTCCGTCGTCAGTCTTCCCTCGACACCTTTGACCGTCGCCCCCTTCGCTTTTATGAGCGTGAGGAATACCCCCCGCCAGCCCGCCGTGAAGATGTTCGCCCTCGCGACGATTACCGGGCCCCTCCATACGTTCCAATCCCTCTGCCCCGCACCCGCCAGCTGGGCCCCGCACCATCTCAACGATACGACGAGATTCAGATCGCCGAACCAGGCTACTACGGCGACGAGGAATTCCGCGGCATGCCTGAGCGGGTGAAGGAGCGTGAGGTTGTTACTTCACGCCGGCGTAGAGACCGCAGCCGAGAGTCCAGGGTGTCAAGGTCAACCAGAAAGAGTTCGCACCGAAGCAGCTCACGATCAAGCAGCACCTCCAGTAGGTCGACCAGCACCACAACCAAGACCGCGACGACTGTTCGCAGCTCGTACCCGAAGAAGGGCAAGACCCGCATCCCACAGCGCCTGGTTTCTAAGCGTGCGCTCATTGACCTCGAGTATCCTTACATTGAAGAGGTAAGTTTCGATTCAATCGAGTGCGCCAACTGTGCACTAACACATTTATTTCCCAGGGTAACACCGTCATTGTTCTCAAGGCTCTCGGCCAGGACAACATCGATGAACTCCTGAAGCTCAGCGAGGAGTACAAGCAGAGTAAGTGATTCCATGTGCCTTTATCAATCTGACCGCAGCTAACATGATGCCAGGTGAATTGGAGATTGCCGCAGCTCGATCATCGGCTGGCAAGCATGAAGAACGCCACGAGGAGATCTACACCATCCCTCCACCGGTTGCCGCCCTACCCCCGCCGCCCCCGACTGTCATCCATGTCCCTCCTCCTCCTCCACCGGCGCCTGCTTCAGTAGCGCCGCCTCCCGCGCCCCCAACTGTCGTTTCTGCTCATCCTCCTGCTCCCCCATCCGTCTACTATGAGGCGCCTCCCCCACCACCCCCGGCTCCCGTTCATGAGGTGGTCAACAAGACTACCATCATCCGCGATGTCTCTCCTGCTCGCAGCTCCACATCCTACACAACATCGACGACCGCAACACCAGTCGTATACGAGCGCCGCGAGTACAGCGAAGAGGTGCCTATCGGACCCATGGCGGTCGCTGAGCGTCGCCGTAGCCGGTCTCGGTCTCGCAAGAACATCAGATCCGAGATCAAGGCTCTCGAGGCTGAGCTTCACGAGCGCAAGCACGGAAGGAGCCGCGAACTCGTCCGTGCTGAACAGATGCCCGATGGCGCTGTAGTCCTCTTCGAGGAGAAGGTCGAGAAGGTTGAGGAGCCGCGGCGCGGAGTGCGGATTGAGAAGGACAAGAAAGGTAGGATGGCCATCAGCGTACCAAAGTACTACTAAGGTACGCTTCGTCACCGTCTCGTCGAGTCAGAGCCCAGGCTAACGCGAGAGTTCCCAGGTCCTCCTCCTGGAATCATGCGCGCTATGCTGGCAACTCTCACGTAAGGGTACTGTGCTGGCCAGGCGCATGACTTGTTGTTCAGTACGAATTTGAATGTACAGAAGGCGATTTACAGACCTCGTACCTACGAGATGGACTTTGTTGCATTGGTTTTTAGCACGGATCTGGGCTTTTTCGGATGATCTTACCATTATTATTCCCCAATAGAAAAAAAAGGAGCCTATGGGTTTTGCGATCCTTGGAAGGGATTCGCACACATGTATGGATGGGATTGGCAATCCGATAGTTTCTCATGCCCTAGCCTAGGTTTCCGGACATGGTGTATCGCCTCTACATACTGGACGGCTCGCCGGTATACTTTTTCTTTGGTTAGATGGCGCAAGTTACGAATTTATGACTTCTATTTTTTAACGTTGGGATATCAACCATGCCATTATTCTCCCCTTTTGAAATATCCCAGTATGGGTAACCTATTGATGTATGCACGAACAGGCAAATGGCGCTTGAGGTTTGGCCTGACAAACACCTAGTCCATCCGGGGGGTATTGACACGTAGGCGCCGTACCTGAGATCCAGTTACCAAGGCAATTGAGAACAGCGCATTCATCACGGCCTAAACCTTAATTCGTCGAGCATCTCACAAGCTGTGTCTCGGCCCCTGCGGCAGCTCGGAAGCAGTTTCCCTTTGCCAAAGTATCATTGAAGAGCCCCATCAAGACAGCGAACAAGTGGTTGGAGCTTGATGACTGGAGTAAGTTGAAGACAGGGTGACGCGTACGCTCAGCTCGTAAAGGGTCCCCTCTCAAACCCCATTCTTACGAGATTGGCGTTTTCCAGCCCTGTCGAAATAGGCCATGATATGCTCCAGACGTGAGGAGGTTGGTCTCATGAATAAAGAAATGCGTCGTCACCCAGATCATGGCTGAGTTTCTCTACTGTTAGGACTGAGTCAAGATCTCCATGGCGACGTTTCGGACGTGATATGTAGATATCGGTGTATGTGAAGGACGCGGAAGCGCGGCTTACCCCTGTCGATCTCGTATGCTTACTTTGACGCAGGCTCGGCATCTACGTAAGGCCCGCAAGTTGAGATGCTCAAGACTCTAAACTCCCCGAACTATATTTTCCCCGGGGAAGCTAGGAACTAATTGGGAAATTGGAACCCGAGCACTGCCTCAACACCAACCTCTGATGTTGTTGTTGATACAGGGCGTTGTAGTAGAAACACCATGAATAGCTCAGCCGGCACGTATCAATGGAGACGGATACCGCATCATGGCTCTTTATAAAGTAAATGGCTGATCTTGTAGTTGCACGAGGAAGCTCAGGATCGGACACAATTGAGGTTGAACAAGCTTCATTCGGAATATAGCAGAGAGAACAACAAGCGCAACAATGAATTCACCGCCTTCCAAGTATCCTTACGAACCATCCCTCGCGGCAGCAGTTACTTTTGCCGTACTATTCGGTATAAGCGGTGTAATACACTCCATTCAGCTGAAGCGGGCGAAGACATGGTACTGGATTGCCTTCTTCATAGGTGTCAACTGTAAGAATCAGCTGAGAACCCTCGAATCCTTGGAATCTGATGGTTGCTTACCAACTGCATAGTCGAAAGCATTGGATATGGGAGTCGAGCAATGAACGCATCTGAAGCACCGAATTATTCACAGGTCCCATTCATCATCCAGACCCTTCTGCCATTGCTCGCCCCAGCACTGTACGCGGCCTCGATCTACATGCTCCTGGGCCGTATCATCGACTCGTTGGAAGCGGGCCATCTATCGATCATTCCCGTTGGATGGATGACGAAGATCTTTGTGTTCGGGGACGTTTTCTCGTTCGCCTTCCAGTGCATTGGTAAGTCCAGTCTCCATCACCGTCACCTGTGATATTCCCGGAAGGACTGACTTGGTCTCTTGTAGGTGGAGCTATGCTCTCCGGCGCAAATGACAAAGACGGAGTCGACCGCGGCCAAAACATCATCCTCGTCGGTCTCGGCATTCAAATCCTCTTCTTCGCAGCCTTTATCGTCACCATCTCCGTCTTCCACTATCGCATCATCAACCACCCGACGACAACAAGCATGAACGGGCGACGACCGTGGAGGCAGTTCATCATGGTGCTGTACGCCACCTCGTTTCTTATCCTGGTGCGGTCGATTTTCCGGGTCGCTGAGTTTGCTGAGGGACGGTACGGCGTGCTTCAGACTACGGAAGTGTATTTGTATTGTCTCGACACATCGCTCATGTTCCTTTGCGCTGCGGCTTTCAACGTGTGGTTTCCGGGACGTATCGTCTCCCCTATTACTTTTAAGCATGAGGAGAGGTTTCCTCTTGGGGCTGTGTCGAATCAGGAGGATGACGGTGCGTTTAGACTTCGAAGGTAGACTGCAGTCTGAAGCCTAGAGCTTATGGATATGCAGGTAAACATGGAAGATCTGTCGTTGGGCTAGCACGTGGTATGTGAGCATCCGATGGGTAAAAGATGTGAGAGCGTAGGCGTACGTGTCTTAGTTAAGTTCTATAGGTATCCAGTGCAGATGTCGACAAGAGTGTCTGAAGTCAGCTAGTCAACGGACGGGCCTTTCTTGACATCTAAAGCTATGCCTTAATTTCGCAAAATCTCAATGCCTTGTCCTTACAGCCATCGGCGGGAACCATCTGCACAGTAGTACTATCCGCCACTTGTTTCATTCCTTTTAGCGTATACAAGCCTCCATGCCTTTTGGATAGATCCTCGTCCAATCCGTTGAACAAGAGCGCCAGAGGTGATGATTTCCATGCTCTATATTGCTGTCTGCCATTACTAGGGCTAGAACGTCGGTTCGCCAGCACCAGAACGCAGAATGTCCACTGAAGCATTAAGAGTGCAACCGGGTATACGATCCAGGGCCAATGAACGTAGACACATGTGTCGGCGACAAGGGTCGCGCCCACCACTGCTCTCAGGCCCGAATAAAGTTCTTCTATACGCTTGTCGTCGAGGCCGTCGTATGGTTTGTTGCGCATGCCCGCCGTCATCGAATTTGCCAAGCCGCGGGCCAGGTTCTCAACCGTGGAGAGATTGCCAGCGGCTTGCGCGTAAACTTGTTTCAACCAGGTTGGGCCCGTTACTATTCCGGGTCTGCCATCCAGCATGCTGTGTGTGACGTTGTTCTGCAAGATGTCCTGCAAAGTGGAGATAATCGCTCGCCAGGAGCTTGCGTCTATTCGCCAGACACACTCCGGCGGTACAAATTTCCAAATCACGTTCTTCCTCCTGCCAAAAGCCTTGTCTCCTTCGCGTTCAGAAAGATGGCTCGTGGGAGAAAGCTGGAATGGACCACCGTCCACTGACTCAACTCGAACTGTTTGAGGCGCCCAGCGCTCTCTTGCCGTACACGACATTTCTTTGCCATTGATTAGGCTAGAGTTGGCCACAAGGGTCCACTCGTCAGTCCATGTTAGAATCTCGTTTGACTTTGGATGTTCGATTTCTGAATAGACTCCGTCTTGGACTTTACCATGGTAGTGCTTGACGCATGCATCTAGCCTGCATCGAACGGCAAATGCTGAAGAGTTTACCTCATCTGCGCAGGTGTCATCCAGATGGTTACAGGGGGCATCAACAATCGTCAAAACATCGAAACTATAGAAGGGTCTGAATGACACTTTGTCTTTATCAAATATTCCTGGTGTGGTCAAGAGCGACAGTTTCGAACTATTCCATGGACTAGAAACTTCCGGAATCAACGATGGCACGGTGTAATTGTAGTCGTAAGACAACTGCCATGCGTAGAAAGGGGCATCTGGCCCCTCTTGAACTTTGATGACTCGGTCCGTAATGTCTTGACAGGAGTGACAAATGGCTAAAGATGAGAAGGGACTGCCGTTTTCCTCGTTCTCAAAGGTGCAGTTGCCCGTAGCGCATTTGAAGTTGATCATGGAAGCCAAATCTTGAGGATCAGCGAGTCCCTTTACGATATCGGAGTCCATCGGACCAGCCGTATAGTGATTTACTCTCGGTATCTCTGCTATGATGCCGTTGACAGAATCTGCGGCACGGCTGCATCCCTTGTGTTCGACCATGGCTTGAGAGACGGGATCGATGGCGATGGCGGCTATGGTGATCAAGGCACCAAGCCCTGCTAAATATCTTGGATGAATATCAGTAGAATGGCCAGTATATGACAGGAGTCTCAATATGGGAGCTCACGGTCTTTGTTCTTGTGTTATTTTCTTGGTGATCAGTAATAAGGAGCCCCATGGACCACGTGTGGCATCGTCGAACGCAACCACATCGGCTAACTTCTGCGGGTGTTGAAACCAATCCCATTTCAGCTGACCCAGGCCTGTTGTCCATCTTCTTGTCAGTACCCAAAAACTATTCAATGACCTGGGAAGACAATCACTATGCCGCACCTTCAGCAACAGGCATTATGAGTGATGCCTTGTAAACTGCATTGAAGGTAGCGATCAAGGTATTGACCGACATTACACCTAGCCACTTAGGCAAGGGCTTGCTCTGATGAAGCGCCAAGATTATGATGATTGCTAGCACGCAACCGAGAGCGAGTAAACTACTCAATATCTCTAGCCGCCATATTTGCCATATGGTTTGGTTCGTGTCGGTGGCTTGTTGGCTTGACTCGTCTGTGCCCTGCTCATTCTTTTCGGGTTGCCACATGTGCGAATTTTGCGTCATTGTACTTCTATTTGAGTATAAAGGCCTCTGTTCTATCGAAGAATGGTGCCCTTCATCGTCAGAACTTGTCGCAGCCGCAGCCTCTACGGCAGTCGATGAGCTTGTATGTATGGAACCGTCCCTCTCAGATGCCGCCGTAGTCAAACTGCTACCAAGTTCGTTTGATGTTAAATCGGCGCTGTCGTAGAAAGCTCTTAGGGGAAGATAACGACGGTCATTTTGAACGTGGAGAGAAGATGCGTCGCTGGCGTCGTGGTGTGGTGTTTGATCCATCCTTGTCCGTGTTACGTGGAACTTCAATATCTACAGATTGTCGGATTCTTTGATTCGTGGACACCTACCATCCACGACGACTTTACGTACGAGGGCTCGTTCTCATATAGTAAACGTCTTGCTGTGTCTGCCCTTGGGCACTACTTATTTTTGTTGTCTCTCTTGTCTGCCTTGTGCTACTGTCATCGTGTTGTTCAACAGACTAGTTGCTGACTGTCGAGGATCAAGCTGTTTCATTGGTTATGATTGAGAAGGGCGCATGTCTAAGGTGACGTCTGTGGTGGCGGCCCTGTACAACGTACGAAGTTTAAGGCCAAGCAAGCATCTTCAGGCTGTCAAAGACAAGAGGATCTGGGCTCAGCCAACGAAATGACAATGAGCTATTTCATCTGTAAACTATTGGCAGTCCCTCCCCTTTGTATCCAGTGTCCCGTTCCAGCCTTGGTCGTCCGCTGAGGTACATAGCACAGCGCAGTAAGAGCTTACCTTGGCATTGCCTCCTCGGCAGTACCAGTAGTCTCTTATGAATGGCCCGTACACCGAGACTATGAGAGTCCAGTTGTGTCGGTACGCAAGACGATTGCAAAGATATTGAACTCGCGACTTCGATGATGGATCCGGCCGTGCCTCAAACGAAGAGATCGCGCATTGTAAAGAGGTCTGGGGCGAGGCCCGCCCCACAGAACTCGGCATACTATTTGAGAAGCCTAGATTCAAGGCCAAGCCAGAGATACAATTAGCTTATAAAGAACTTAATTTGCCAGCCTTTAAACGGAACTTTCCTGAGTTGTGCAAATGATCTTTACCAGTAGGACTTACGAGGTGGTCCACCAGCACGTTACTATTCCGGGCGTCTCGCTTCTTATAAGAATCCGGGGACCCGTATGTCGCTCTTTATTAAGAGCCGAAAACCCAGGGTGCTCTGTGCTCTGTGCCCACACAGCACGGGCGCCACCCGGAATCGCACACAGAATGCTCGCTTTGGTCGCTTGGGATATTTACATTGTTGCCTAGATGATGCAGACTCTCTCGCTTATAACAGCTTGATTGCATGGCTTGTCTGTGATAAATGCTGTACTCTCTCAGTAGGATAAATAGATCTATCTGATCACTCACTGTGCGTTGAGGCTAGATGACATACATCGTCGCACGCACCTCTCGCAACTACAGACACGTTCTCGCGCTCTCCTCAGCCCGGACCAGTCAACCGTCCAAACCACGTTTCTTCATAAATCATATGGTCAAAGATGTTGTAGTTACTCCTGCGACAAGTTCTACACGCTTGCGATAGGCTTCGGCAACATCCTCAAAGACTTCTCATGTAGCGTCATCGACTGAGCTGGAAGACATCGATTTCCTTCTTGGGAAACCTCATCGCGTCTCGAATCAATCCACAGACATATTAAAGTAATGGGAATGAGGCAAATAAGACGTCTGGAACCATGCGCCAAGCATGTTGTAAGTTAAGTTGAAGGGTCAAATTTCGAACATGTTCGGTAGTGCGAACTGACTTTTCCGAAATCTTAGCCCCGAGTGGCCTCTAGCTTTAGAGTTGAGATTACTACCTGATAGGCACGCTACAATAACCGTACGATTCAGTTGATTGCGTACGCTCCCGCTATACGACGGTGTATGTGGCTTAGTGCCCGGTGCTCAGCCCAGGCCTGTGTCACTAGTAGATCCTTGCTCGCAATGCCATAAAGGGATGGACGCCCTACATCCTCTAACTAATGCATAAAATTCCGTCCAAGGACAAGCTTAAAGAATGGTGACATCCTCTGTCCCACCTTTCTTTTCGCGATGCTCTGGACGCCGCCTATGCCATCGATAAGCTGTTTACATCTACTCGTCCGATAGCCTTGGGTAATAACTTTGTGCTATTTTGTTCTTCAGAGCCCGGTATGGAGTCGGCAGCTGCTGAGGCACCGCCGATTCCACGCAAGCCAGCATGCGTTCTTTGCAAATCGCGGAAAGTCAAGTGCGATCGCGAGAGCCCGGCGTGCGGAGGCTGCGTCAAGGTTCGTCCTCCTTGAAAGCACTCTCCGCTCAAAGACACTTGCTTGGAGATCTAACAGCAAGTCATTGGCGATCTAGCTAGGCGCAGAGTGTGTACCTCGCGAAAACTCAAAGACACGGAACCGGAAGAAGCCCAATGTTGAGCTTCAACGAAGACTCGCGCGATGCGAGGAACTACTCCAACAGTTCGTGGCTGCAGAAAAGCGTGAGAAGAGTAGCGAAGGTACTCGTACAGAGCCTAGTCCGAAAAGCGATACAGGTACCAAGAGTGAGGATCAGGATCGGAGCCGGGATCGCGAAATGCAAGCGCTTGAGAACTCTCTGGGAAAGCTCGTTATCGACAAAGGGTCTGTCAGGTTTACTGATAGCACCCCTTGGGCCACGGTATTCGATGAGGTAAAAGCTCTATCAACGGTCACTCGCCAACCAAATGTCTGACAATTTGTCTGCCTTCATTTAGTTACAAGCCATGAGAGCAATCGTGGAGGACGCCGAGAGTCCTGCTAGCCTATCGAGCCTACCCGAAACGACGACGATTCAACAACCGTCCATTGCGAATGAGGCAAACATCATGGACGTCAGGGAGTCCAGTGCCCGCAACCCGCAACATCTACATCCGCCTCCGAGCCATGCCATGCTGCTATGGCGGATGTTTGTAGATCGAGTCAACCCGATAACGAAACTTATTCACGTGCCGTCCACGCAACGTCATCTGGTCCAGGCCACGGCGACTCCGCCATCCTTGCCGCGAGACACGGAAGTTTTGTTCTTCTCGATCTATGCGTGTGCTGTTGGTTCGATGAGGCCAGAAGAATGCACCAGGTTACTGGGCCAGTCGAAGATGGAGCTTTTAGATCGGTTCTCGAAGACCTTGCGAAAGGGGCTGTATCGTGCGCGCTTCTTGGAGAAGCCCACTTTCGTGCTATTGCAAACACTCGTACTTCAACTGGTACGGAAAACTCGCGCATTGTTTTGGGCCTCCAAAGTGTCGCACAAATCCATGCCATTTCACAAGGTTGAACGTCCAGCTAAGTCAAGTTTCTAACAGGTTGTGATTCCGGATCGAGAGAGTGCCCACGCGAATTGGGTCATGAGCGGCGTCTGTATTCGAAGTGCCCAACGTCTCGGGCTACATCGAGATGGCTCACAACTGGGAATTTCCCCCTTCCAAACAGAGCTACGAAGACGTGTCTGGTGGAACATTGTCCTACTCGATTTTCGATTCGCGATGGCCTCTGGCTTCAACCCGACCCCGCTATCACGCGCTTGCAGCTGCAAAATGCCCACCAATATCAACGACGCCGATTTCGATGTCGATACCGCGACTCCCCTCGAGAATAGAGACGGCCCGACTGACATGATTGTCTCTTTGGTGGTTTGCAGCTTGTCACGATGTCTCACTCAGCGAACCAACTTGAGCCATGCCATGTTCGTCGTCGAAAAGAGTGACGTGTCAGATGAGCTCAGTCGACTTCACAGTATCGAGCTGGAGAAGTTCGTCGTGAACTTTGAAGAGTTTTTAGAGGATATCGTGAAGCGTTATTGCGATCCGAGTGCGGGGGATCTGCACGTATTAGCTTTGCAGCTAAAAGCAGCCATGGTCGACAAGATTCGAATCATGGCATGCAAGCCCAAGGGGGCTGTAGAGCCGCCGCCCGAGGCGAAAGGGGACATCCTTTTTCGTGTGTCACTCGAGGCGGCTGAACACGTTGCGAACCATCTTCAGGTGATGGAGGGTTGGAACTTTGTGTGGTACGTTCTTCAGTATCTCGAGTACGACTTGTTCCTCCACATGATCGGCCGACTGTGTCTCCAGTCAACGGGCGACTTGGTCGATCGAGCATGGAAGGTGCTGCCCATCATATATCAATACCAGGAAAACTATTTCGAAATGTCGGTTCACCCATATGCCGTCGCAGGAGCGGTCCTTGTCAGGGCCTGGAGACACAGGCAGGAAAGCTTGCTCTCCCAGTTAGGCTACCTACCCCCGACCCCGGATTATGTTCAGAGAGTTGAACAGTGTTTGGCCGCCAATGGCTCAGTCGGCAGTTCTCCTCCCGAGCTGATGCCTCCTTCGGGAAGGGTTGCGCCAGAGCATACCAGGTGGGAGGAATCGGAATGGGGATGGAACCCGCCCGGGTTCGGCATTGAAACCTACGATCTTGAGTACATAGTAGAAGAAGATCCATTGGCATGGCCTCCGCCTCAGTGACGAAATGGGTGGAAGAATCTGGATATCAGTTAGGAGAAGCCACAGAGAAGAGGACGGCAGAGGTTGAGAAGAAGTCTGACGGTGTTAATCTCTCAGCGGCTTAGAGAATAGCGCGAAGTATGATACTCAAAATCCAGGAATAGAGCCATGTCACTCATGGATAGAAGGGAGTCCTTTATCACTCAATCACATGCCTTCAATCACTCGGATGCTTTACGGTGCTTACCCAGCAAGGACTCTTATCATGGCTTCCTATCTTTACAGCCTACCCGGTCTCGCAACTCGTCCACAGTGCTATTGAGGCTCGGGTAACCTGCATATGCCAATAGTGAAGCCGTTACTAACTCACGAATAGACGAACGATCAGTTGAGTCGCATTATCGTTGAGCAAGAAGCCGAATATAATGTCCTTGCTCAGGGAATCGTGATTTTCGTAGTGCTGTAGCTTTGTCGCACCATCCTAGCGAAGCGGAAGGACCTCCTCCGCGCACGTGATATCCAATCTCTTGATCCCTGTCTCGTCCGGTCTCAGGCTGGCCCACCTTCACTCTATTTGTCTTTGATCTCCACACTTTGATCGACTCGTGGCGGTTTTTGGATGAACGAGAAGAACTCGACAACCCCTGACGAACTCGCTAGACAAGACTTTGAGCCTCAACGTGACGGACACCCAGCTGCCGTGCCGGTCGTCCGGCGAGAATTTGAGGAAACATCCTAAAATGCCGCTTCGGTTACATTGGCAGAGGTCAAGCAAGACTGCCAGCTCGGACAGCGAGGAAGAAGAGACTACGCCCCGCCCATGGAGCAATCCGAGGACCCGGGGGCCTGGGGGTCCCAAGCTTTTTCGCTCCCTTCCGTTAATTGAGGGGCTCCGGGGGCTTAATGGGTCTGGTAAGGTGTAGATTAACTGTCAAGCCCCCTTCGAGGAGCGAGTTTTTCGTCATGACGGGTACGAAAGCGACCGTGTTTATATAGGTGTTGCTGGGTTCCCGTCGATCGTTCATGTTGATCTACCGCATCCCCGCCTGTCTTTCCATTCTTCCCGACCAAGTCGTTCGTTCTTGGAAACACACTCTTTGCTTGATAGGTGCAGGACACAATGAAGTCACAGATCTTGACGACCGGTCTCTTGGCTGCTGGGGCGAGCGCTCTTGAGAAGCGTGCCTGTACCGCGACGGCGGAGTGGCCTGGGTTTGCGAATGTCAAGCACGCTTTCGTCTTGTAAGTCTGCAATACTTCTGCGCTCTGTCCTACATACAAGCTAACAGTGACCAGCGGCGACTCGTATTCTCAAACAGGCACGATAATTGGCTTCCTCGAATCAGTGTCATTTGGCTAACAGATCACAGGCTTCAACACCTCTCTCGAAGCTCCTAACCCCGCCAACCCCCTCGGAAACCCTTCCTACCCGGGCTGGACCTCATGCAACGGCCCCAACTGGGTTGACTACCTGACCGTGAAGCACAACGCATCCCTCCTGTACACCTACAACCTCGCATACGGCGGCGCCACCGTCGACGCCGACCTCGTCAAGCCCTACGCCGACACGGTACTCACTCTCAAGGACCAGGTCCAGACGCTCTTCAGCAACGCCTACGCCGCAAAGACAGCACCGGCCTGGACGGGCTCGGATTCTGTATTCGCCTTCTGGATCGGCGTCAATGACATCGGCAACTCGTACTGGAACGGAGCCGATGCTACCTCTGCGCTCAACACCAAGATCGTGGACGTCTACCAGGGTCTGGCCAAGGAGCTGTACGAGGCGGGCGCGAGGAACTTTGTGTGGTTGACGACGCCGCCTGTCGACCGGACGCCGATGCTCCTTGCCGAGAACGCGGACGCGCAGAAGCTCTGCAAGGACGACGTTGCTGATTTCAACGGCAGGGTCAACGCCATGGCGAAGAATGTCACGACGTGGGAGGGCGCGAACTCGTGGGTTGTTGATGCCAACGGGGTGTTCAACGGTGTGCTTGATAACGTGGCCAAGTTTGATGCTACCAAGGGGTACAAGAACACTACTGGATACTGCGACGCGTACAAGGAGTAAGTCACCCTTGAAGTCGAAGAGCCTACACGTATAAGCTTACCTTTGAACAGTGGTACGACTGCTCAGGACACCCTCATTGACAGCTGCACCTACCCAGTCAACCAGTACTTCTGGCTCAACACGCTGCATCCTACTTACCCCATTCACGATGCGGTTGCCGAGACCGTTGCTTCGGCCCTGGAGGCTGGGCCGAATGTGTGCTAAGGTAGTTGGTGGAGCTGCTGGTTAGTCTGGATGTATCTTCTTGTATTTACTTTCAAGTTCCGGGTCTATGTACAAACTAAGACGAGGTACTGCCATTCGTCATCGCACTTGTCTTGAGTGGTGCGGATGATGCCTCGAGCTGCATCTTGCATCTTCCTATACCAGTCGTCTGTGTGAAAATTTGCTATTCCTTGGAAAAGAATGCATGCGATGTCAGATAAGGGCATGTACGAGTCTGTATCTACACCGTTGTGGTATTCGTGTAGGGCACGTCGCCTATTGCTTGGAAATATTGAGGCGATTCGGAGTCACACTCTACCTCACATGGCATCAGTCATTCCACGTCACGTTGCCCGAGAGCTTCTCACATTCACTGCAGCGAGCCATGTTTGCCAAACTAATTACCCACAGAGAAAAAGCAAGCCTATCACATTCGTCATATTCGCTACAACGAGGCTTTGCCAGGGGCGGAGCACGTTGCCAAGGCGCTACGGCTTAATAGGCTGCAACATTTACTGCCCGACCATGATGCCCTCAAGTTCGGCAAAGAGCTCAAGTGGAAGAAAATTTGTGGCAAGTACATTATGAGGATTATCAATCTCGCGGAGACGAAATATTGATAGATACTACGGGGCGAGGGACACTGCTCTCCACAATCACATCGCAAGGCAGTGTAGCATCCTCTTGTCAAAACTGGCTACTATCTTTTTCGAGAATAAGCCATTCGCTCAATTACTTGTGATATACCGCGGAATTCACATAGTCAGCATCAGCTTGGAGAATATCATCGCAATGCCATCTGTTGTTGAGACTTTGGGGGTGGCTTCAACCTCGAGCTCACCAGCAGAAGAGGAATTAAGCTTGAATTAAGCTAGAAAAGAGGCTTGGCTCTAAGCCTACAGCGCTCTCAGACTGGCGAATGACCACGAGGTAGCCATAACAAGATGGACAAGGGTAGTCAGGCCTTGCAAGCACAAGTCACCAGTCCAAGTCAGTGCCTGTTCTTTTTCTGCGGCCAACCCCAAGACACGGACTTGTGACGCTGGGAGGCTGGGGTCAATATTGCCCTCCATGTAGGTCAAATAACAGCAATTCGGCTGTTGGGCCATCTTGGCAGCGAAAATCAGGCTCCTCTGGTTGGTGCAGAGCCATGTGTCGCGCCCAGGAGAAGTGGCAGAGTGGAAACCGGGCGGAGTGGGTAGAACTGCAATCGCCCGGGGCTAGTGCGGCACAGCAAACGCCAGGCGTCCTTCGCCCGGCCGGGGTGAGACACTTGTAGGCGAGAATCCAAAGCGGATGTTGAGCAGGCTATGCTCGTGAGACCGCTCATTTCTGTTTGACGGCTGGCCATACTTAAGTCAGGGGAGAAGGACAGACTTACTTGTGTAGCCCAGCCTATTATCCATCCTTTCAACTCAACTCAACAATAACAACAGACTCGATCCAAATATTCGCGAAAAACAGACGCAGGTAATATTGCTACAGAGAACTGGAACCACAACGCGCTTGCAAACATGGGTTACTATGATACTCAAAATATCGTGGGGATCGTATACACTGTTGTGAGCGCTCTAGCTGCTGTCGCAGGCTCCGTGTTCTTCATTCTCCTTCTCCGAAAGACATCAAAAAGCTATCATGACCCCACTCGCCGATGGGTGGCCATCACCAAAGCAGCCCTGGGGCTATGGCTATTGTAAGCACCACAACTCCATCTGTTTGACGGCGGCTAACATTAGCATTGTCTCCAGTTCCGAAATCTTCTACGTCATTCTCAACATCATCTCTCTCGCACATGGAAGCACATATTCGTACGACTCCACATTGGCCAAATTTATCACATACACCTCGAATATCCTCTCTTGGTTCTTCGAAGTCAGCCAGGCCTTGACTTTCCTGGCACTCTTCTACCTCGCCCGCGCATTCACCCTCCTCCGCGTCGACGAGACGTCAAAACGCTTCCGGATTGGGAAGTTATTCTCTCTCGGCGCCGTCATCTTGATCTCGGTGCTCAGCTTCACATCAATGTGCCTCTGGCTGAGTACCAGAGAGGGTTACTATTCTTGGAGCTATAATAGCAGCGATTACGAGAGGGTGATGATGAGGAGACTGGTAGCTCAGATTTTCGATCTCATTTGTGGCATCTTCAACCTCTTGTGCGCTATCGGTGCTATCACGTACATTGCCCTGGTCCGCAAGAACGCCCTCAAGGGTCCTCTACACAAGGTCAGTTCTGCTTCATTTGCCACCGTCTCTCAGTGTTGGGTGACGCGGTTGTAAATTCAGTCAGAGCGCTAACATATGATGGCTAGGCCTCGAACATTGCGCTTGCAATCAGCATTGTTTGGTTTGTCCGTGCAGTCTGGTCGCTCTTTGCTCAGCTTTCCTCGCAATACGGGTACTACTACTACAACTACGACACTTACACTTGGTTCAACATTGTCTCGCTAGTCGTCGGTATCTTGGGCAGCTTCGCCGTTTTCGTCATGCTCTACTTCCTGGCCACTCAGGATAAGTACGGCCTCAATACCCGTGGGGACTCAGTGCAGCCTGCGAAGCTGAATGATGAAGAGGCATCAGGAGCCCATACCAACACTGCCAACAGCGTATATTGATTCGGTCGAGACCAATCGGAGGGTCGGCAACAAGTGAAAGGTTTACCTGAAGATCTCCGTTCTTGCAGATAGAGCCTAGGGGGTGTGATGGTTACGCCTAGTTTGGTTGGGAGTTGGGGACGAGCGAGGAACAGCATGATACCAGATAATGCGTGATGATACTCAACGCTTCTAACTTACGAATATACGGCATCTAATACATTGTACCTTGATCTAATTTGACTTTCTTGAACGTAGCGCATGCACTCTAGAATTATCAAATATTTCATTTCTCTTCTTCAGCAACATACTCTTCAGGTGCAACAAAGTCCTCTGAACCCCAGGTCTTGGCAATGTACCTAGACATAAGTCAGCAAAATGCTGGATCGGCCTTTGGAAGAGTCTCACTTGGTATGGCTTCCTCTTGCAGCCAACTCGCCCTTATTGTTGAAGAATGTGACTGTCGTATATGCAAGCGTTCTGCCCACTGCAAAGAATCAGTTTCGGTGCTCTACTTTGGACAGGGCTACAACGTACTCTTGTCACAGGTGGCGGTGCCCGTCATGATGTCGCCAGGCTTGCCTCCAGGGTTGAGATACGTGACTATTGCAGTCAGTTGACAAGTTCAATAGTGATCTTGGAATGCATTGTGAGAGCTGAAAGATGGACTTGAATATTCACCATTGATGTCAGTTGAGACACCGGTCATGAATCGACCCTTGGAAGCGACGGCAAGAGAGCCACCGAGGTCAACAAGACTAGCAAGAGTTCCGCCATGAATCGTAGAAAGGCGATTCTGTGGGTCAATTTGGCCCAGTCAGTGGTGTCTTTGGCAACGGCGAGCATGGATGAGACGTACCGTGTGCTCCTTTTGGATTGCCAACTCGAAATCAACTTTGCCCACCGATGCGCCAGTCACTCGAAACTGCTTACATGTGAGTAAAGTATCGCGCGTATACGTAAGTGTTTTGTTCATACGTTGTTACCAAGAAGCCTAGAGTTATGTGAGTACTTGATGGGCGATGCACAGCAAAACGGGATACAAGCCAGCTTACCTCGGCTCAAGCCCAGAGTCCTTGGTGAAGGAGTTGAAAACCTGCGGGGCAATTAGACTCAATTGGCGACCGTAATCTAAGGTAAAAACTCACTGAGCGCACGAAGCGCAACGGAGGCAGCTTTGGGGCCATGTTTGAGCTTTGGGCGGCGAGCAAAGTGATGAGAATTGGTGAGAACGAATTTCAAGGTGAACTCGGCGAGCTTCGGGAAGGGATTCGCGACGGGGAATATGACGTGCGGAAGACAGTACGTACCTATCTCTGACTGATAACAGTCCTTATCGGCATCACGATAAGATAAGGAACCACCTAAGGTAAGCTTCAGCCAGGCACAACCCACGAGAGCCCCTGCCTAAGGCGGAAACCTCCGTAGACCCCTGCCTGATGATTGAATGATTGCTGCGCCGTGCAATTCGCCTGGTCGCAAACCATCGTGAACTCTTTCAACTCTCGACAGCTTCACCACTTCGACCCACCACCCGTCTCCGAACTCGAGCCCGAAACCCCGCGCCGCCTACACGAACATGAGATAACATCGACTCACATCTTCGTTCCCTCCTCTACCCAAAACCCAGCGCGCAAATCGCCCATCATGTCGGTCAGCTCGGGTCAATCGCTCCAGCTGGCCGACTACCTGGAGAAGCTGCCCGGCACGACCTTTAGGAAGCTGTACCTGCAACCCTCTACGGCCTTTGCCATCTTCCGCAGGATGATTCCGCCGCTGGGTGAGAAGCCATGACCTCCCCTTGGATCGATAACTCAGGGCATTGGGTTGTTCCGTTGGAGAAAGAGCAAGGTCGCTGACCCAGAAGCCCAGCGAAAACCATCGTCATGGCTATTCTATATATGCCGCAGCCTATGCTGCTAGAGGACCTCGATGTTTGGGTCAAGCCGGATTCAAGAAGGTGCGGGCCGAAGTTCAACTACTTACATACTTAACGCCGTCTAACACACCATCTTGCTCTGTCATAGGCAAAAAGATCAGGCAATCTCGACCCTTCGCAGCCTGCACATCCTCCAAATCACACCTCCCTCCAAAGAACGGCCACAAGAGATGCAACTCACGACAAACTTCAAAAATTCGCTACGCCTCGCACTCGAGGGCGGCGGATCCCACAACTCCTTCGGCGTGCCCTCCTCCCTCCCCGTCCCGCCCGAAATCACCGTACCGTTCCTCGATCGCTACGCCCGTCGCAAGTGGGAGGACATCCTCCACTACATTGTCAACACCGTGAACCCCGGCGGCGCCGATGTCAGCGGACCTAAGGCGTCTGTTAAGGATCTGCTCGCCGCCGGTGCGCTGGTACGTCGCGCCAACGGCGCCGTCGGCATCACACAAGCCGGCTTCACCTTTCTCCTCCAGGAGGCCAACGCCCAGGTCTGGACGCTTCTACTGCTCTGGCTCGAGGCCACCGAGCACGCCTCCGCCGTCACAGGAATGGAGAGCACCGACGCCCTCAGCTTCCTCTTCCTCCTCGCGAGTCTCGAGCTCGGCAGAGCCTACGACACCCAGGCCCTCACCGAACCACGGCGCAACATGCTCCCCAGTCTCCTCGACTTTGGCCTCATCTACATCCCCCAACACAAAACCCAGCAATACTTCCCAACCCGCTTGGCGACGACGCTCACGAGCAGCTCCAGCGCCCTTCGCAGCGCAGGGGCAGGCTTCTCCGCGGCTCTCGCCGCAGCCACCGGCCCACGGCCCTCGAACGGCCTGACCCCCGGCGGCAGCGAGGAGAACAAGGGCGGCAGCATCATCGTCGAGACAAACTACCGCATTTACGCCTACGGCCAGACACCACTCCAAATCGCAGTCCTCTCACTCTTCTGCAAGCTCAAGCTGCGTTTCTCCGACATGGTATCAGGCCGCCTCACGCGGAACTCAATTCGCAACGCCGTCGAGCGCGGTATTACAGCCGACCAGATCATCTCGTACCTTGCCGCCCACGCTCACGAACAGATGCACCGCATGGCCGCGGTACGGAACCGGCCCGTCCTGCCACCCACCGTCGTCGACCAGATCCGACTGTGGCAGCTCGAGACGGAACGCATGACGACCACGAGCGGCTTCTTGTTCCGTGATTTCGACAGTCCTAGAGAGTACGAGGACATTGCGGGCTACGCGGCGGAGATTGGCGTACTGACATGGCGCAACGATAAGCTTGGCATGTTCTTCGCCAGCAAACACGAGCAGATTAGGGACTACCTCAAGTTGAGAAAGAAGGCTGAGGATTAGACAGAGGCGCTATGGTGCTATTCCAAGAGACATAGATAGACCTAGGCACAGGTCTAGAGGCGCCCCAGGTATATTGCAGGGCGGCTACATGCATTGGCAGGCGTTTTTGGGATGGAGATGGTTCAGGCTGGTGTAGAAAGTAAATGGGTATTGTTCTTGACAGCTAACTTTTGGTCTCTGGTAACCTCCATCTCTGGTGAACGCCATCTAAAAACAATGCATGGACATAAGGGTCATTTTCCTCGTACACTCTTCCTGTACGACAAAGACTCTTCTTGACCAAATCGAACAATGCGTTAATGCCTCCGTCCCTGTACACCTCCAGCTTCCCCCCTCCCCAAGTCCAAACAAGCCCAACAAATGAAGTCAAACGCCATTAACCATGATCTACAATAACCCTTCGATAGCGACATACTCCAGACCATCACATAATGCTTGCTCGCATGACGTTCCCTTGCTTGCCTTTGCCAGCCTCTCTCTCCAACTGGGAGCTGCCGAAGCTCCGTCTTCCACCTCCGCTTCCACTGAAAAGCCGCGCAACGAACCCCCTGTCCGAGTTCGTGCCTTCTGGCAGGAGCACGCTGCGTCCCATTCTTCGGGCATACGCCTCTTGCCATGCGTGCAAGCTTTTCTTGGCCTCGGGTGTACCGCAAAGTGCTTGGAGGTGGAGGAAGATGCGGAGACTGCGATTATCTTCGTCCGAGAGTCGCTTAGCTTCTTGGAAAGCGGCAGTGCCGTAGCGGTCGAGGGCTGTTGTGGTGCTGAGAGGTAGATTGCCACGGCCTTGATAGGCGGCACGTTGTTGGGCAAGAATACTGGCCTTGGAGGCGTGGGCTGTGACAAAGATTGATAGAGTCTGCTCTTGAAGGGATTCACCTTGGAAACGATCCTGTAAAGACATGAAACGACCTGACCAGTAAGCCGATGGCTGCGCTGTCGTAATGATGAGTGGGTTGACCTCAGGAGACATGGGGGTAGGGGTTCTAGTCGGAATGCTAGTTGTAAGAGTCGAAGAACTGCTGGTCTTGCGAGATGCCACAGTCTGCAGAGAGGCCTTACGATCACTTCCCGTGAAGCTGGCTAGAGATGTTCTAGAGAGAGAGGCGGTGAGGTTGGACAAAACGGTAAAAGTGCGAGACTTGGGCAGTCGCTGCTTCTCTATTCCGCCTTTGGGCGATCTTGATTGCTTTTGACGACCTCCGAGTTCAGGGCTGTTTCCGCCAGAACTTTCAATCGTCTCTTCCGCACCTCTTTCGATTTCGGGAGGCACAGATGTATGAGGCGGCCCTCGCAGGTGTGTGGTGTTTTTGACGGCCATGACGGGGAAGCTGGCGACAGTTGGATTGCTGGACAACGGTCCGCCTGTGGTGAAACTGGCTGACAGTCGTCTAACTCCATGAGATCTTGCCACGGACAATTGGGCTGCTGTTCCCGATGGCGATATGAGCTGGTTCTCTTGGGAATGAAGTCTCTCGCACTGCGTAAGAGCGGCCTCATCTGAATATGGAATGCGCGTATTGTCAGCGTTGGCGTGGGAAATCTCCCCCAATACTCGACGATCTTTGACAGTAGCTTGTCTTTGAGAAGCGAGATATGGTTGGTAGCTTCCACGACCGGATAGGATATCTTGCCGCTGAAGAGGCGGGTTGGTTTCTCCTTGGGATTTTCGATGGTGGGGATTGACAGACTCGAGGGCTCCATAAGCTTTGCTTGCTTGGGAAGTCTTGAGGATACCACCTTGTCGAGTAGGGCCAATAGTCGAATGGCCTCTTGCCGAATCAGCGTCCGAGGTCGGCTGGGAGATGTCTGAGTATTGTTTTTCGGTGTCGTCGATGCTCGAAACGACGGTGATTGCTTCGGCACGCTCAAGATCCGGTCCGCTGCTACGCTGGACAGGCCCAAGAGGTCCTGAGATGGTTGGGCGCGACGTGGTGTGTTTTGGTCCCCGAGAATTGCGGTTCCGAAGCGGGAGGAACGAAGATGCAGATAGACGGTCTCGCATTTTTCCAGCAGAATGATGAGTGCGGCAAAATACAGGACGCACTCAAGGAAAATGATGTAGGGAATCGCCCAAATGAGGACGGTGATAGTTACCTGGCTGGCTCCAAGGGCGTGCTTTGAAGAGGCAACAATGATGGCGATGGACTGAGTGAAGGAATGGAAGTTGAGACGAGCCGCGAGAAAACAAGACTTGGCCCAAAGAGAAAAAAGGCGGAGGTTGGCGTTGGCCAGGTCGATGCAGAAATACGAGATCGTGATGATGCAGCGAGTGGTGTGGGCGAGCAGGACCAGGCCAAGCGATCCGGACCTGGCGGGGGACATTGTCTGGAGAAGAAAGTGAATTACGAGAATTAAATCAGACGAGGCGAGAATTTCAGTGTTGGAATACGCAGCCAGAGCGGTGAATCGCAGCCGTGGCGAGGTGAGCCAAAAGTGAGGTTCAGATGAAAAAGTGCTCTGATGTTGTTGGATGTTTGGAGGACGCGTCGACATCAAGCGCACGGTCGAGGACCTTGAACAGATGTCGACTCGCATGCAGCTCTTGCCGAGCGACAGAGAAAGACAGTTGAGACTCATCGCGAGAGGAAGGTCGAGTGTCATTGTCGTTGCCATTGTCGTTGCCATCGTCGTTGCCATCGTCGTTGCCATCGTCGTCAACTTCTTCCGATGCCCCTGCCGCGATGTTTCTTCCATACCAGGTGAGGGAGGCAGCATCGACCATATCAATGTATATCCGCTGAACGTCACTTCCCATCACTTCCCATCAAAGCCTCGCTATTCCTGTGACTTCAAATGCTCATAATTCCTTGTATCATTAAGTATGCCGTGTCAAACATGATGCATGTGGCAAGAACAACCTCCAGCGCCAATGTCGATGATGCGAGGCCCTTTACATGCAATACCGTCTCTATACGAGCTAGACTCTTCAGTTCTCCCATCCCTCAATCTTGAACTTGAAGACCTCGTCACCTTGGCCTCTTTCAATGACGTTACCATTGCCATCCCACAATGCTCTCTCGCGATATGTCACGTTGCCGTCCCAGTCAACCATGATGATGGTCTGCCGCTGTGTCCCGTACAAACCCACCTCGAAGCCCATGGTGCCTTGAGCAGGAGGATCAGGTCGTTCGCCCAGCTGTAGGCCTTCGGCTGCCTTCTGGTCATCCGTGGCCCATTGACCCGGGCCTCTGGAGACTGCCTCCTCCATGGCTTTTCGATGGCTCTCGTCGCCCAAAGCAGGTACGAAGATGGATTGCTTCAGCTCCTTGATGTAGTCCGCCAGGCTCATGTCAGGGTGCTTGGGAAGCGTATCGGTGTCTAGGACCTTGAACAGGCGTTCGGCTAGAGCATCCTCATCCAAACTGTTCGTAACAGCTTCGTGGATGGCCTCCTTGACCAGACGTTTTCCATTCTCAACCTTGGGCCACGGCTTGGGGTCATCGTACACGGTATTGCTAAGACCGTATACCTCGCCCCGCTGTTCTCCGATCCACGGTACGTCCTGCAAGTCATCGCACCGGTTGGAAATGATGGCGATACCCTCGAGCGCATGTTCGGGCTTTTCGTCGGTGCCGCGTTTTCGTTTCAATTTGCCTGCTACCATGGAAAAGCCACCGACGCCCTTGACACCACCATCCTTGACGAGGTGATTCACCGACGTTGAAGCGGGCTCTGAGGGGTCGAACCCAAGCCACGCAGTGACCATGCCACCACGGCTGCGGGCAGCGTGAATGGGATGTTTCGAATCATGTGTATCTGTCTCGCGATAGTTTGTGAGGACTGCGAGCTGGCCGGTCTTGGTGATGCCGAGCCAGGTGCCCTTCTCCGCTCTCTGAAGGTCGCGGGCAGAGAGAACAGTAGCGCCGGAAGGATGAGTCCACCAGTGCGGGCGGGACGTTGGGCGTAGGATAAACTCGTCCCGGTTATCGACAACGATGAGAGCGTAGTCGGGATGGGCGGTGGTGAGTACAACGATGCACATGCTGGGCGTTGATTGTGGTCTTTTAGGGGGGTTGCCTGCCAGGTATATCGATGATTGGTTCTTCCTGAGGGCAACTGTCTTGGTCTCGATGAGTTCCTCCTGGGTGGTTGTGATCCAATGTTCGGTTCTTCGAGGGAGTGCTCGTGTTTATATTTCTGTGAATAAGCGGTGGACAATGAACCCTGTTCCAACCTAGAAGTTGTTGGTGAATCCAAAAACCTGACGTGTCTATGTATGACTGGTGTTTGTGATTGTTAGGTTTCAATATGGTACGTGACGGTGTGCCCAAATTCTGCAAACCCCTTGGGAATTGTTGGCCCTTTTTAATGTTTTCTGTTCTTGGATCTATAATCAGTCCACCTCAGAAGCACAAAAGTCCAAGGTCAGCTCGGCTTAGCTTGGTCTGGTTGGAGATGGCTATTGCCTCGGTCTTGGAATCATGCATCGCCTGACGCTGAAGCTTGGCAGGCTGTTGGGGAGTTGGCAGCGTGGCCGATCCTGTGTGCTCCGAGGGTCGGACAGCGGTGCCGGCCGGAGGAGATGACAGCATGCTTCCAGGCACACCCAGCAGGTTTGGATGGATCAGCTTCAGCTTGCGAGGCCGAGCGGAAGCTGCCTGTGCATGTGCTGTGCTCTGCAGTGTGCTGGCAGCTGCACAGCGGTACTGGAATCTGCAGCAGCGATACGACGCGAGCAGCTCGGTTCAGATTCGGATTCTTGGCTGGAGGGAGGAGACCAGCCGTGCCCAGCTGCTGGCACTCAGGATCTCTGTACTGGGGGAAACGCTGGGAGTGGAGTTGGTGTGGCTCGAGATCTTGTCATGGATGGAGTATGGCGTGAGGTTGAGGCTGGTGATCTTCCATAGTGGCTGTGCTGACTTCCCGACATCTTACATAATATCATCCGACCCGCGGGGTATTAGGTAATCAGCTCTGGATATTCCCGGTCCATTTCCCCGCACTGCTCAACCCCACCAACTTTCTCAAAGCTTTGAATTCGCAACTGGCCGCCTTGCCTCGTGCAACGACCAATGCCGTGCAGCAACAGACATCAGACAGATGATGACCGCAGAGTACCCTGGGATGACTCTTCTTTTTACTGCTGTCAACCGATGTCGAAGTTGCCCAAACTCTTCTGCCCCAGTCAGCATGCGACGATCAGCAACAGGCTCCAAATGAATCGCTGTCGGACTCGTCACCAGATTCGTGGTTGCGAAAGTGTCGGCTGCACCAAGTCAACGCGTCTATCCTGATTATCTTGCAGTCTTATTTCTCGCTAATTCTTGTTACGGGTGTCGACTTGTCAGCAATTTTCGAACCAGTCGTCATCAGCTGTAGCAGCTGTGGATAGTGCCCCAAGACACCAAGTAATCCAGTGCAAACCCGCCAGACTTCAACGGCCGGCGATGTGGATATCATATGCCCCTTCTTTCGGCCGACCAAGGGTGTCCCTCGCGGCGAAGATGTGCTTGGCAAGGATCGTAATCCTACCCATCGATCTGGCATGGCCTTGAGATGCGAACCCCCAATACCGTATACGGAGACTCCGGTCTTACTCTGGCGGAGACTGAACCCCGAAAGTCAAGTTCGAGCATTCATGTTTCCAACTTACGATGTCCTAGTCGGAGGCGGTCCGAAGAGATTAGAGCCTCCGCGCGTCTCCTTCAATGCAGAACTTTTGTTGGCCGCCCCGTGCTATTCTCTAGGCTCTATCTTCCATGGGACAAACCACCAAGTAAGAATCCGAACACATTCGACCTTCCTCTTTCGACATGGCGCGTCGGCTGTTACCCGGTGCGAGCTCAGCAATCGCTGCAGTCTGACATGAATCGGCACTTTGTCCCGCCGACTCTCTAGGTGCAATGGCGTTTGCTCGCCAAAAGCCTCCCAATGATGGCAAGGACAGTCTCAGTGCTTACGTTCTCAATCTTTGCCGCCGCCGACACGACGACATGGACTCGTAGCCCATCTCTGATACCTGCAAAGCACCTATGTTTCGCTAAGGTCTCCGCGTCAACTTGGCAAAGATTGCGCAAACTTGTTGGTCAGATCAGAAAAGATGTCGCCTGAAGTGAGTCAACAACAGGCATCAACGCCGGGCCCGAGAAGTAAGCTCAACCTCGTGGCTCGACCGGTCATTGTTGGGGTGCAATCATTTAAGCTTGTTTGACAAGCCTCTTTATTAATCGACTAAGTCTTGTCCGTTTCTCATAGCTTTCAAATTGCCCATCTTTGCCCTCTCCGCCATACAAATCTCACACTCATTCAAGCCATTGAGTTCGACCCAGCATTGGCCCCTGGTATCCTCAGCGAATAGCGCACCCTTGCCGAGCCATTACATACATCAGCGCTCACTGCTAAGACCGATCTGAACAATGAGCTCGAGATGTCTCAACGACGACTCCCTCGGGCCTAGTGTTCAAGGCTGCCGCGGTGATTTTGACTTTACTCTTCGATTCGAGAGGATATTCTTGGCCATCATCCCCGCAGCCGTTTTTATCGCTCTCTCACTTCCGCGTGTTGCCTACCTTGCTCGCAAACCGCGCATCGTTGGCGCCAAAACATTTCAAACAATAAAACTGGTAGGTCATACTAGTCAAGGCGGGCAAACTTCATCTGAGACTTGGTTCTAAAGTTTCCCTTCGTTTAGGCCATCATAACAGTATTTGCAACGCTGCAATTCGCCATTCTCATTCTACAGACAACTTCCAGTGGCTCGCGTATAGATGGGTTTGCCGCCTCGGCCTCAGCTCTCGGCTTCCTCGCCGCTCTTTTCATGGTCGGATTATCGTATGCCGAACACTCCAGAGCACCCAGGCCCTCGTTGCTTTTGACCGGCTACGTTTTTCTCCAGATTCTCTTTGATATTGCTCAAACGAGGACGTCATGGTTGGTAGCTAGGACTTTCTCAACACAACTGTTCGCAAGACTGTTCACGGCCTCGCTGGTGATAAAGCTCGCCATCCTCATCATCGAGGCCCAGAGGAAATCACGATGGATTCGCTGGACCGCCGAAGAACACAGCCCGGAAGAGACGAGCGGCTTGTTCAGCCTAGGCGTCTACTGGTGGCTCAATCGCCTCTTCCTCCACGGTTATCGCAACGTCCTGAAGATCGGCGACTTGTATGCTCTCGACCGTGGCATGATAGCCGAGACGATGCAAATTACCCTCGCCCAAGAACTTGAGAAGGGCAAGAACCGCGGCAAAAACCACGGGCTCGCAAAAGACCTAGCCAAGGCGTTGGCTGTCCCTCTACTTCTGCCTGTCGCCCCGCGGATCGCCCTCATCGGATTCAGCTTCAGCCAACCGTTCTTCATCCAAACTCTTCTCGAGTACCTGC